TTGCACTTGCTTTAATAATGAACCTAAACAACTTCCAGATTCTTTCCTACTTGGCCTGGATACAAAATGGTTGCTTTTGCACACAAATGTCGGTTTCGAGTCTCGGAGGGGCCTTGTTCTTTTAGGATGTATGAAAATGAAATTTTGTTCCGGTAATTTCGGACTTTCGTTTGTCTGCACAAGTTTTGTCGTCTTGGTGCCAAATCAGGAATTTTTCTTTTGCGGTGAGCCGTTCTCATTATAGTTGCAAGTTTTTTCATTGTAGTTTCAGAGGGACTTGAAAAACTGGTTTCTGCTCTAAAATTGTCGGCTTTGTTTGGCGCTGTGTAAGTTTTCTTCCATTGCTAATTACCCTTGCGATAAGCAAGGGTATTGCAATCGGTTACTGGAATTTTTTTCCCGTACCCAACTTTGTCCACAGGATCTTCAGTTCTAGAGGATCACTTCTAGAGGATCTTTCATCTGACATGCTCAATTTCTCAAAAATTAAAAAAAGTGTTCTCAATTTTTTCGGGTTCCTGGTTTTCGTTCTAGTTTCTGCCAGTTCATTTTCCGTTTTCTACACACCTTTTTTTTTTATCTGGTAGGGTTTTTTTTTACTTATTCTTCGTTAGGTTTTTTTTCTTCTAATTCTTCATTTTTTTTTCTTTTTCCCGTAACCAACTTTGTCCAGAATTTGCACGTGTCTTACTGGACTGATGCAACTCCACAGATGCAAAGTAGCATGTGCATGTTAGGTATCGGCCTTATGTTTCTGTTATGAGTACCTTTAATAGTATTTTTGTGCCAAAATATTTCGGTATTTGGGCACTTGAGTGTGCGCTTTAATTCCGTCGGCTCATTTTCCGAATGATTTTTTTTGTATTACTTTTTGTTGGTTTTTATAAGAATGTTTGAAATCTAACAAATTGCTTAGGGCAAGTGTAAATCATTTTCCCAGACCCTTCCTTATAAAAGTGAAAATTTCAAAAATGAAAAATTAATGTATTTCATTGTTGATTCAGTTTGGATATAAACTTGGTTTTAACCTTTTATGCTTTTTTTGTTCAATAAACTGTTTTTACCATATTTTTTTCTGGTGTAGGTAATTGAGTTAGTGTGTTTTGGCAATTTTTTTCTACAACAATTGAAAATATGTTCACATTGATTTTTGGCCCATATTGTTTTAAAAAGTAGCTGTTGCAATTGAAAAACGAGAACCAAGCAAGCCTGAATTATTTAGATTCAAATGTTTGATATTTTAAATTAAAATTGCTAGTTGAGTTCATCGTTTTGCAAAGTTAATTTGAGTTGCTGCCTGCTAATTTTTTGTTCCTCCAGTTTTGCGTAGTTTGATTGTATTAGGAATGATAAAAACAGGATCTAAGCCAGATTCAAGTGCTATCAATCAGAAAGATTTATTTTAAAAATTGTTTGATAATTTTGTTCAGAATTGCTTGACGAAATTATCACTTTTCCTTTATTAGTTTTTTTCTTACGTTTGGTTAATTTTGATCTGTTTTCGGTCTACATCGTGTCTAAGTATCGTTCAAGGGCATATCTTTTTTCTTGGTTTTTTTTTCTGTTTGATGAACCGTTCTTTCTGTCAGCTTGTTGTTCTTGTCTGATCGGATCTTTTTTTGGATATGAAAATAGGCGGTTTTTGCCTTCAAAGCTGTTCAAAATAATTTGATGTTCGTGTTCAGTTCTAGTTTTTTTTGTTTCTTTCGTTTTCCACTGATTTAGTTTTTGAACTCATAAAAAATAAGTTAAAAGTTTTTGAATTGTTTTGGAATTGATTTTCGAAAGTTTTCGCGAAGTTTTTCATCGTCGCTGGTGTTGTATTTTTTTAGAATAATTTTTGGTTTTTTCAGATCAATTTTGTTGTGTTGCTAATCTAATTTGCATAAAAAGTAAGCTGAAGTTAGGCTGATTTTGTTGCTTATGTAATTTTTAAAACTGCAACGATTTTGTAATCTGATTTTTTGATAAACTTTTTTCTCGATTTACAATTTTTGCATCGCAAGAGGTGCGATGCTCTGCTTCGCCTATTTTTAAATTTTCAAACAGATTCAGTTTTTTATATCGACTTCATCAATTTTTTTGTGAAATTTACAGAGAAAATATATCCGTTCGGTCTAGTGTGTTTCACTTTGGATGTTTCGTAAAAACTTAAATTTAATGAAGTTTTTTATGACAGCAGTTTTGTTTTCGGCTCAACAGGTTCGATACAAAGTTTGTCGCCTTTGTTGCTGCTCGGTAAATGATTTTCAATTTAAAGGGCTTTTTATGAACTTCATTTGATACAAATATGAAATTTTTGCAGCTTTTTTGCCAACTTGTTTTTAAATAAAGTAATTTTTTCTTAAATAAAGTAAATTTGTTTTTAAATAAAGTAATAACATCTTTTTTCAGAATATTTTTTGACTGTTTTTTTCATTCACTATTTTGTAGCGCAATGGGTTATTTTTGCATAGGAACTGTTGAGAAGCTCCGCTTCGCCTCTGTGTTTAAAATACAAATGTCTTGTTTGGCAACAATACTGTTTGATAAAAACAACTATTGTGAATGTGACACGCAAAAATTATTTTTTTTTGTGCAAATTTTTTTTTCTCAATGACTACGTTACCGATTTTGAAAAAAATCGGTAATGTAGTTCCACCAGCAAGCTTGAACGAAGGTAATTTTTGCAAAATTACGGTTATATAACGACTAATTTATGTGCAATTCAATACAATCAAACGATACAATCAAAATATAATTTTACCAACAATTACTACTTTCTGCCTGACTTATCCATTTAATTTCAAGGGACTGTTTTAAAAACAATATATCAGAGAAACTGTATGGATAACGGTGGAGCGCCTGCTTAATTTGTGCAGGCTAAGTTTCCACGTTTTTTTTTAAATATTCTCGCGAGCTTGCAATATCAGCTATTTTTACCGCTATTCTTTTTTATCGAGTTATGATTTTCTTCGTTATTTTTTTTTGCACAAGGGCGAGTCTAGGACTTATGAGGGGCGGAGGGTTTTCAAAATCTTTTCAAAATTTTTGTTCGAATTTTTTAGGTCGAACAAGATGATTTTACGAGCTCTACCAAATCACTAAAAACCCCATTTTAACATATTTTTTTTTGTAAAAAAAAAACAGGCCAAGAAAAAGGCCATTCAGGTTTTTTTTAGATAGTTTTGACCAAAAAATAGCGTTTTTCGGTGCGCGTTTTACCTTTGGGTCAGTGATCCAAAATGGGTGGTGAAGCGTCGAGTCACTGAGGAAGAAGTAAAATCAATGTTTGGGAATTTCTTTCACATCTTGAGCTACAGCCTTTAATTACACTAGGGATTAGCAATCTTATTCGAACCGAAAAAATTTTCAAAGGCCAACAACTCAGATAGAATCACTGAGTCATTTGAGCATAGTCATGAACGTAGTGAAGACACTTCCATAGGTGAAGATATTGTTTTTGTTTTCGAAATTTGATTACGTCCAAATAAATTTTTCGCGGTCCAAAGTTTTTAAGGTCATCTATTTTTTCTTTGAAATTCAAAAGACGAGGTTTTGTAATTTCATTTTAAATTTTTCCAGCGGAATAAAAATTTAAGCTATTGATACAGTTTTCTCATATTCAGTTGATTTTTATCAAAAATGTCCCAATGAAAAATTCCTCAAGAAATTCAAATAGGGTTAAGGCCGTTTATTTGTTACTTTGAATTTCGAAAATTGAAGTTTTCAAAAAATCTGCCAGTTTTTTTCTCTGTTCACTCGCATCCGGTAACTCTTTTCCAACTGTCTGTTGGCTATGTTTCACTTTCATCTTAGTCAGAGTAACGCAATGCTTGAGCCCTGTTTTTGATTATTATTGTTTTTATGATCAAATTCTTTAAAGTGACGATTCAATCTGATTGTTAAAATCCAATTTTTCTAGTTTTTCACAAGTTTTTGTTTGCCTGATTCGAGCCTGTAATTGAGCTTCTATGACTCATAATTGTGTTAGGGAATGGCTTGATTGTACCTACTCTTGAAATACATTGAAGTTTTTTGAAAAATATAGAATGTTTTGCTGTTTTTATACAGTCTGTTTTTTACGTCTGAAAACTGGCATATATTTTTTCTCGAATGATGCGGAGCTATGCGTCTCTTTATTGTTCAATTATCTTAATTTGAAGCATTAAGATAATAAAAAATTCTCAATTTTTTTTTTCGATTTTCTTGTTTATGAAAACCACCATTTTTACTAATTTTATTTTAGGTGTTATTGAACAAAGTGAAGACTCTTATTTAGGTCGTGTTTTTATTCAGAATAAAATCAGAAACTATATTAAGCTCAAATTTGATTTTTCGCAGTTTGATTTTCGGATTTTTTCAAGTTCAAATCATTTTTTTTTGATAAAAGGAAGGCAGATTACGCTCTCATTAACGAATTGCTATTGGCACGAAAATACGTGAGTGACTTCAGTTTCTGGCATGGGTTTCAGTTTCGTGAGTTCGCAGTGGAATACATAATTTACCTTTTGATCAGTTTTCTCAGCTTAGGTTAATATCAGCAAAAAAGCGTCAATCATAAATTGTACTTGAATTTCGATAGTGGTAGTTTTTGTCAAATTTTCGTGTTTAGTTTTCGAGTGAAGTAGTTTTTTAAGTTTACTTTGAGCTCTTTGCTTATTTAGAAGCAAATGTCTGAATTTTCATAAGTTTGTTAGATTTTTTTTTAATGTTTTTTTTATGAGTGGGATAGTTTTGGGATTTTTCGACGTGATTCCTTCACCTGAATTTTTTGTAGCTCTTGTTGGTTGCTGTATTCATTCTAATGGATGTGAATAGTTTGTGGTTTGCCATCAAAAACTTAGTTCAACAAAAAGATACATCTTATTATCCGTCCTCTCCTTTCTGCAGTGTTATATTTTAAGAATGACGCCAGAATTACGATTTTCTGTTTTCAATTGAGCGTTGCTATTTTGAGCATTCTGTCATGGTCGTTTCTCAAATTGAAATGGTAAATAACAGAGTAAGTTCATTTGCAATTTTATTGAAGCGAGTTTCAATTTGTCAGCTGCAATTTACTGAGTTTTTTGTGCTTTTTTTCAACAGGTAAAGATGTTTATTTTGTCTTCAATTTTTTTTCCTCAATCCCATAGGCGGATAGGGATTAAAAATTCCCAATATATATTTAAATTAGCTTAAATTATATAATTAAATTAGCGAGATCTGAATTGTTCAATCGATTGCTCATTTTTATAGCATTTAAGGCAGCAGAAGAAGTTTTCAAATACAACTTTCAAATGAGCGCAATTTGGTTTCAGATTTTTGGTTGATTTGAAAAAAAAAAACGAGAATAATTAGATCAATGGCCGTGAATGCTTGGAATCGCAAGCCAAATGTGGCACAGTATTCGACACAGGAAGAAGTATCTGCAGCTTTAAGGGGACAGGATTGTTCGTCAATCGGTGAGTAATTATCACAAAATTTAATAAATATATCATAAATTAATTGTTATGTTTTTTGGCGTCCGCTTCGGTGCTTTATTGAGTTTTTTCTTATAGTCCCCAAATCGTAAATATTTCAATCAGAAGTATTTATTTCATACATTGATCAATTATCACATAAAAACTGAGATGTTCGTTAAGCTAGAAATTAAGGGGTTTTAAAGTCGCTAGCCTAGAAATCAAATGAATCTTCCATTATAACTACAAATTGACTGCCAGTTTTTTGTTGAATCAAAATTTTCCAAGTAGAAATCAAATACCGAAGTGTTTTCGATTTTTGGTAATTTTACTACCTTAGTTTTGGGTTGAGATTTTTTCGAGATATCAAACTGAATTGTGAGTATTGCAGTTTCGATGCAATCTTTATTCAATTTGAGTTCACGATGTTGGTTGGGGACTAACAGAAAATACCCTTCAGCTTTCCATACACACTTCCTGGGGTGATTGATTTCATAATTGCCAATTAGGTTAGCGTTTTCTTACCCTTGCGATAGGCAAGGATTTTGTAATCGGGTGCTAGACTTTTTCCCGTTAGGTAATTATAAAATCAAATTCAATCAAGCATGTGGCGTAGAGGTAGCAAAACTGATTGAGACGGTGCTTCGAATCTGGGCGGACCCGTTTTTTTAGTAAGCTAGAGACTTAGTGCTTTTTCTGACTATCGTTCGTCTGTTTATTTATGTCGGCTTAGTTTCCGTAGACCGAGTTTTTTCGAAGGTTCAGCTCTAACGCCCATGCTGAACCTTCGAAAAACAATAAAGCCTGGGAGCTCGAAATCGGACGAGACCTGTTTTTTCTTGCATGCTGAAAGTTTTCGGCTAATTTAGATTGTTGTCTGTCTGCTTATTTTTGTCGGCATTGTTCGCAGAATTTTTTAAATTTCGTTTTTTCTAGCATTTGAAAAGCTCCTTTTAAGTTCTAAAAGTGCAGGTAATTTTCTTCCGAATATTTTTGGATTTTTTATTGCAATTTTTATAACTTTTATTGACCAAAACTTTTTAATCGTTGGATTTTAATCATAGTGATTCTTTTTCGTACTCTTTCCTCTTCCTCCCTCCCCCTTCCTCGCATTTCAAATTTTCGATCTTCTCAGTTCTTTTTCAGGTTATTATGGCTAAATGCGTAATGTTACATAGATATGAAGAACAAATGTGTTCACAATAGTAATTTCGTTCACCATGCAAAATTTCATGGTGAACATTAAGAAATTTATTGGTGAAAGTTATGAAATTTCATGTTGAACATTATGAACGGTGAAAGTTAACAAGTTTCATTCACATGACAATGTAGAATGAGTTTTTTTTTCAAAACTGAAATTAAATTGTGGTGGAAAAGAGCAATTATTTGTATTGCAAGTGATGCGAAGCTCAGCTTCGCCTCTGTGTATATATGTAATATAACGGTTTCAGAGTTCACTACGAACGAGGATATGGCGTGCCTGTCTCTACATGGTCATCAGCCACAAGATGGTGATGTGAACAGACTGGAGGAATTGATGAGCGAGGAACTGGCGAGAGAGTTGCAGAGGGAGGAGAACATTAGAGCGGGACTCACTCCGGATGCACAGAACTACTTCTACATGCTACCACCATCTGACATGCCACCCATTAACCATGGTTAGAAAAAGCGGCGGATCTTGTTAAGCATCCCCTTGTGGTTGTCGCATTCTAGTCCTCTAGCATAAGTTAACTAAGTTAGATAGAGGCAAGAGAACTGAGAAAGAGGACATTAAAGCAGTGTATGGGAACAGTGAACCTTACCAAATCGCCACGAGTATCTGATATGTGAGAGAGCTTGAGAGATCTGATAATAGTATGTGTTTGGTTCAATACACACCATGCATCTCTGCATGAGACCATGCATAGAAAAAGCTGCTTAGCTGAATGAATCAACTGAATGGGTAACAAGGTCGAGCTTTTCATTTGAAAATATTAAGATTCAATTGGTTCGTCGAAAATGGTTGCGATCAAAATTTACTGTTTTCTGGAAGGTTTTCAATTGTCTGACTAATTATTGATTGTTCTGACTCGTGTGTACATTAGTCGGAACTAATTCACGGTCAATCATATGTAAATTTTGTCCTTTGTAGCAAATTTCTCCCCCTTCGCAATAGAAGAGGGGGGGTATTGAGGGGAGGTGTGCAATTGCCATGGTAAACAAGGGAACTTCTGAATACATTTGTTCAGATCTTTTTTGTTCATTATCTACATCGTAATATGACGTTCACTCTTTAGCCCTGAATACGCATAACTACCTTAAAATCCCGAAAAACAAAGTAGGCGTAGAGTCAAATTGCTTTTCGCGGTAATGTATCTTGCCCTAAAACGCAACAGTGAAAGGCTAAATGTTGACTAGCTTTCCCTGAAGTACTCTTCGAATTGAAAAATCGAGAAGTTCTGTCCTGAAGGTGTAGCAGGTAACACGTGTAGGCAAAAAGGGATATATTTACTGTCAAAGATCAAATGTCTTTTGCTAACGTAACCTGATACGAAAGGTCGGTTCGATTAATGGTTACACAACATGGCGGTGTTTAGTTAAATCGTTCCGGATTGTAGGTACGAAAACCTTATTTTTGGACGATACCAACCAGAAATTGTGAAAGTGTTGTTATTTTCAACAGGAGCTCGGGGAGGGCAGTGTGCTGTTGGTGTAGATGACGTCATCAAGGGGCATGGTGACGAGGAAGATGTCTCTTCTGATTGGCTGATGGCGCAGATGCTGCAGAGACAGTTGGATGCAGAACACGACAAAAGCATACAGAGATACGAAAAGGTAGGACATACCTTTTGCTAATGCCTAATTGCAACGAATTTCATCGACTCTGAATGCTGTAGTAGGTCGAACAAAACTCCATTTTGGATCTCCAGATGTGTTTTATGCTTTGTTGGTTGAAAGATTAGTATAGTTTTGTATAATCTGGTAGCTGACAAAGTTTAGGTGTTGGTCAGATTCGTTGATTGAAAATGATAATGCAACAAATTCGACTCTAAAAATTGCTAACTACTTGAAGAAAAGTTAAAAGACGCTTAAAAACGAAGAGCATGTGTAATGTGGCTCTTCGGATGTTTCTGTAGATTGAATGGTAGTTCTGCGCTGGATCCATCGACCCCAGGATTAATGGTATCCAGTATTGCTTGAATCTAAGAATCGTCAAGTGACCAGGGAGCATCAAATTATTATGGAGCCAATTGATTTCGGAGCGACTTCGCTGTTTTTCAATCAAATTTAACTTTTTATTTTGGAGGATTTAATATCTCGTTCGCTTTGAATGTGTGATGGTTTCAGGCGATGAACAGAAACAATAAGATTGCCATCTCTTATGACCAGTACAAGATAGATCCCAAGAAGTACGACTCCAGTGACTCGGACAGTAGTGACCCAGAAGCAGAAGAAGACTGGACTAAATACTACAGGTTTTCATTTTTTTTCAAGGAAATATCCCTGAACTTAAATTTTAACATGAATTGTTCCAGAGTAATAGTTATGTTAAGAATCTACCAAAATTTTGTTTATAAATTTTCATCGAGTTTATGGTCTGAAATAATTGGTCAAATTTGGCAGGTGGAAATGGATTTTTTCTCTCATTTTATCTGGGAATACGATTTTTTGTAGAGCCATTCTTGTTGAAATTAACACGATATTGTCAGCGAGAAAAAAATAGAGAAGAAGTCAATGATCATATTGTTGATTTTGTGATACAGGGCCGAAAGCGGTAAGAGCAACACACCAGCAGTGAAACGAGGATTCGCTCGCAACAGTGAGGGAGTTTCGGTGACGAAACACGACGCCGAATTGACGGGACGACGAAACGTCAGTCGAATGGAGAACTTCGGGCCTACTTTCAAAAGCGGGGACGGAACTGGAATGGATTTGAAACTGTCGAATAAAGTATATAAGAAACTAAAAACTCACTGTTATAAAGAAGAAAATCGAGCTGCTAAATTGCATGAAAAGAAAGATAATTCGACCGCTGAAAACGCAATGGATGCCAAAACGAGTCTGATGCTTATGAAATTTGTCGACAATGGGACTCTAGATAGTGTAGGTGGCTGTATAAGCACGGGAAAAGAGGCGAATATATATCACGCATTTGGAGGGCCAGGAAACGAGAGAATTTCAGATATCCCCGAGGAAGTTGCTCTTAAGATCCACAAAACAACTTTGAATGAGTTCAAATCCCGAGATCAATACATCGCAGACGACTACCGGTTCAAGAAACACTACACGAAGCAGAACTCGAGAAAAATTGTAGAGCAATGGGCGCTTAAAGAGTATCTAAATCTAGAGAAGATGAAAAGAAATGGAATCAAATGTCCGAAAGTGGTGAAAGTGAAGAAAAATGTTTTGATCATGGAATTTCTGGGAGAGGGAGGGTTTCCAGCTCCTAATTTGAAAGAAGCATCTCTAAATTCCGACGACTATTTGGTAGCGTTTGAACAATCAGTACAGTGCATTAAAGACCTTTATAGAAAGTGCAAACTGGTTCATGCGGACTTGAGTGAATACAATTTGTTGTGGATCAGCTCGAAAATACACGTGATCGACGTCAGCCAATCTGTTGATATAGCACACCCAAAAGCGCACCAATTTCTTTTGCGAGATTGTAAAAATATTACTTCATTTTTCTCGAAGTTGTTGCCAAGTGGATCGGTTCCGAAAGACTACGAGTTGTTCAATTTGGTCACGGGTCAGAGATTGGAATCCGGTGAAGACTTGGAGCTATTGGCTCAAATCGACGCTTTTGAGAGCAACCAAGAACTGCTCACATATCAAATGACAAGGAGCAGTTTTCCATTTGACTATATGTACGACAAAACTGCTCTCAGGTTTACATGGATGCCTTGTGACAAAAGTAATTTCAACAGCGCAGAACTAAAGAAGACCAATTTACAAATTAAACAATGTTTCAAAGCGTAAAATTGAATTTGAAACGCATTTTCGTCCATAAATGTGAATTGGTTTGGTAAATTTAATCAATTTATAACTTTTATCTACCCACAATGCAGTGGATATGTCAAGGCGCGTCTAAGATAGATTAAGACCCAGCCTTAGTTAGCCTGGTACGTTTGTAAATTTTTCGCATCCACAGCTAAGGTGTTCTGGATAAATCGGCTTCTTTACACTTTCAAGAGCAAATTTCTTGTAATCGGGATCTAGACTTTTTCCCGTAAACAACTTCTCATACAAATCCAGAAGAAATTGAATTTGCGCTGATATTGAGCCTTCGCAACTTCCAGGCTCCTTACCACTTGTTCCAGAAGTAACGTGGTTGACGTACTTGGCACCCTAAGGTTTTGTGGGTTCGAGTCCCAAATGTTTTCCGTTATAATGGACTCGTCTTACGGCTGTTTTTTTGTTTTCGGCTCAACAGGAGTTTCTTCACATATTGCCGGCTTAGTGTCGGCTTTTCTCGGCTGTTTTTTTTTCTGAAATTGGATTTTTCATTTTTTGGGGGGGGGGGGGGGGGATCATATGTTTTTAAGTGTTTCTTTTTAAATCGACTCAGTGATTTCCGTCTCTTTCTATTTGCTGGCTTGCACTGCTACGCTTGCGTTGTATGCTAATGTTGTGAAGATCTGCTTCGTCTGTGTGTAAATAGTACACAACTGCTGTGGCGTAACTAAAGGATGCAAGACTGCTCGTATAAAGGCCATTGCCATATCATGGACTTTGCTTATGCTGTGTGCAGTTGCAAAGGCAAGTGTTGTTCATTCCAGTTTCATGGAGGGACTTGAACGATTTTAATTGTGTTTTATAAAATCTTTTTTTTTTTCGTTCAACTGGTGTCTTATCGAAGATTGCCGCCGGCTTCATGGCCACATCACTGATTTTTTTTTGCGCTGTAAGCAACTATCATTGTAGTGTTTCAGTTAGGGACTTGAAAGGTTAAAAAATTATGAAATGTTTTTTTTTCCGGGTAAGTTGGTGCCCTCTCAATGATTGTCGGCTTAGTGGTCACTTTTTCTAGTGCTAAGATTTTCTAGTGCTAATAGATTTTTCTTGTGCTAAATCAGAGAACTTTCATTATAGTTGCAAGTGCTAGTGTTGTTCATCGTAGTTTCAATTGGGACTTAGAACCCTAAATGTTTTTTTTATAAAATCCTTTTTTTTCGGCTCAACTTGTGTTTGCTCAAAGATTGTCGGCTTGGTTTCCTCTTCTTAAGTTTTGTTACGTTGCTAAATTAATATTCAATTGTCTGGCATGTTTGCCTAGAATGAACTTTTTTGAGGCATACGAAAGTTTACATGTTCGTAGATCTAGTTTTTTTGAAGTGTTTTATTTTTGTTGTATTGCAAATGGTGCGAAGCTCCGCTTTGCCTGTGTCTCAAATGGGATTATTTTTTTTTTAAAAAAAAGAGTCAATCATAAAATATGAGCTTTACAAACTCAATCAGTTTTCAGTTCATATATTTTTCGAATTCATCGGCACTTTTTACTGTCTGTTGGTTATTTTTACCCTTAAAACCAGCAATGGTGTTGCAATCTTTGGCTATTTTGACTTTTTATTTTGAAAACCTTTCTTGTCAATTTTTCAGCTTCCATTCTCTCGACAGAGTTTAAGATTGCTTTTTTCAATGGTTGTAGTAGGATGCTTTATAAGTTAATTTTAACCTTATCAATTTAATGATATACTGCCCCTTCTAAATATTTTGTGAAATAGTCTGATTATAAGTCAGTTTTTCGTTTTACATGGAGTCGAGTTGAATTAAATTGGCATTATAAAATAAAAAAATTGCTCGTCCCTTTTTTCGTCAAAAATTGTCGTTAGTTTTTCATTTGATGATTACATTAGTCGAGCTTGTGTTATCGTGCGAGACAACCCTCCTTTCCTACCTAATTTGCACATTTGTGAGTTCAATTTATGAGTTTATTTAAGTTTCTTTTTGGCGCTTTTCAAATCGTATGAGCTGCGTACGCTAAAATTCAGTAGTGGTTCAAGGTATGGTACAGAAGTCATCAATATAGATGAGCAAAAACAACAATTATCATGATTGTTTTTTTTCGGATCAATGGTCGTCTACCCAAATTGAACCAGCTTAATTACCGCTTACAGCGTTAAAACTACTTCAAAAATACCGCTTTCGTATTTTTGAAGTAGTTTTAACGCTGTAAGTCGCCTTCCTATAATAGTTGCTCTAAATCGAAGTTCAGTTGACGCTTTATTTCGATTAAACAAACAATTGGTGATGGGTTTTTTGGAAGTTTTCTGCTCGTAATTGATTTGCGGCTCAATTTGTTACAGCAGTTTTTTTGTTTATATTGAGGGCCAGAAGAAATTGAATATCACAAAGCCTTTTAAATGAAAAGTGGCTGAATTTAGACAGAGGTGGCGGCTTATCTCGTTTGATAAGCAAAATTTGGGATAATGGATTATAATACAACAGTCAGAATTTTTTCTTGCAGATGTCAATGGAGAATCACAAGTTGATATCGCATTTTGAAGAAGTAGAGAAAGTAGGGCTCGAAATTCAGCGAAAGAGGAAAGATATAGTGGCGTTCGATTCCCAGCGGCAAAGTAGCAGAGAAGCTGCCAGAAGTTTATCAAAAACAGAAGACAAATCAGTTTGGTGCTGTGTGGGTCAAACGTTTCTAAAATTGCCAGCGAAAAATGTTGAAACGAGACTGAAAAATGACATTGAAAAACTAAGCCATCAAATTGATGCGACTAATAAATCGCTCAAAAACGATGTGAAAACTTTGAATGATATCGACCAGACAGCACCCGTTAAGGGGTTCGATCTAGAAGCTGTGAATTCTAATCGCTCCAACTGAGCCCAACTAATAAATAGCCCTACAATTTTTTTTGACTGAGTCGCAAATTATTTTAGATGGTAGTTTGTTGTAATGGATTCAAAAGAGCATTTCAGTCGCAAGCGGCCTGTGGATAAACTTGAAAATACTCTTCGGATAAACAAAGTGAGTCAGTCCATCTACATAAACAACAAATCTTCCTTCAGAGCCCAATTGGCAAGTGTAAAGAAGGCTATCGACAATGGATTCAACGAGATATTCTTACACGCTACAGGAGCATGTATTACCAGGGCAGTTCAAATCGCTCTACAGGTCAGTTTATGATAAGCAACACAAGTACTTTTGTCCGCATTTTTGATCGGCTGGATTTAAGGTACAGTTGAGATTGAGGGCTTCATAAGAATATGATGGGGCTCCTCCCTATTGTAAAACAGACTCTGCGATGTTCAGTTGAATTTTCTTGAAAACTGCTAATTGAGTGCAATACAATTTGAAACACGTTAAAGAAAAGGAACTTAGACGCCAGAAATTTAAAGTAGTTGTTGTATATGCTGATGATAATGGGAACTTAATTAAGTTTAAATGTTGGAAGCAAATTGATTCTATTGAAAATGACCAATTCTAGAAAAACTAATCAATTCAAAGTAATTGAATCGATTCAGAAAATGTATCGTGTTTGCGTGGCTCAATATGCCGGGTTGAGAAAACATTGTAGACTTTGGTCCAAATATAAATTAAAGTGTGAATGGAGTTCGTTGAAAACTTTTAATGTTATATTTGTACGGAGTGGAGAAAATATGCTTGTGTAACTTGATCTGTAGTACTGTTGGACCAAATAAACTATCTACTGAAACCGGAACAGGGAGCAGATACAGTCGTGTGACATAGAACTTGCAACTTTTTGCTTACAACGAGCAAATGAACGCTTTTTTCTTGACGTTTTTGTCGTTTTCTCTGCAACTATTTGGGAAATGAGATCGAAATTTTGACAGATACTAGCTGAAACTATTTACACCAGCAAATTTGCGAGCGATAGTGTATAAGAGGAACCTTCTTTTTTGTCTATCCTAGCTCGCAAATAAAATTCTTCACTTATTTGGTTGCGCTTTTGCTATAATCACGATCTGTAGCATTGGAATTTTCACAGTTCTCTGATTAGTTGTGGATAGTGTTTGTGATTTATTAAGCGTCCGTGGCGGAGTGGTTAGTTTGTGAGACTCTTAATCTATAGGTCGCTGATCGAATTCGAGGCTTATTACTAACTCGAGGCTTATTTCTGCTTTTTCTTATTGCACTTTCTAGAGCTGCTTTTTGTCGTGTTCTCGCAAGTGCTTTCGCCTCTGTTGAAAGGATCTCACCGGTTTAAATATTGAGAAATCTGAATCTGAAGGCGTAAACTAGCCAGTAAATCATAACTAGTTTCAGAGGTGTTCTTGCTGTGGTGTCTGATGATCTTCACTTAGTCTCTAGGTTGCGGAAACGGCATTCAAAAGTGTTGAAAGGTTTAATCAGTCCGACGTCGAAAAATGGTTATTTTTTTACGACAAGTTTTGCGCTGATGATCGAAATAAGCCAAGAGTAGAACTATTCTAGCTGATGTTTTCGAAAGATGACATCTTTGATCCATGCACAGGGTTCTCATCTGCGGTTATGTTATCATTACACAAGCAAAACTCTTTTTTCAATCTAAGTCGCAAATATTGTTGCCACGCAAATATTATTTTGACAAAATTTGTTCATTTTGATCAATAACCATTGATTACAGCCTTTGCTAAGGATTTTAACACAGACTATTATATTGCAAATAGCACTTCAGCTTCAAGGTATCATGGATCTGTAGCGTAGAGGTAGGGAAAGAAACCAGCAACAAAATAAGAGGGTTCGAGTCTGGGCAGGGTCGGAAGTTGTTAATGATTTTTTGTTTCGTATACTGGCTAAAATGCGTCCGCTCTATAAATTAAGGCATGTTAGTTGGTAAATTTTTTTTCAAATTGAATTGTATTGCTAATCCGTCATAATTGGCTTGCGTCACTTAGCAATTATGTAGACTCATAATTGGCTGGCGTTACTTGAGAAATTTTGTAGACTCAAGGTTTTACTCATTCAGTTTTTCCCAGTAGCGTTTATCGGTCATATTTTTGCTTGTGTATGCGAAGCGCCCACAGTATAAGCGGCCAAGAAATTTTAGTATTCTTATCCTCAAAATATTACGAACACTTTTTGAAGCCGGACCAAGCTTATCTTTCAACACTTTTGCCTGTCGCTTTTCCGCAGCCTAGAGACTGAGTGAAGATCATCAGCTTCCCAGAATGATAATATGCGTCCAAATATTCAAATTCCGTGTGTCATTTTTCAAGATGTTTTCTGAGTAAGAATACCTCTGAAACTAGTAATGTTAACTGGCTAGCTTACGCGTTCAAATTAAGATATCTCAATAATTGATCCGATGAGATCCTTCCAAGCAGCTCTATCTAGCATGTGTCAAACTTTCTCTAATAGTTAGAGAGAGAGCGACAAAAACGGGGAAAAAATTCTGTTCATTTGCTCCTTGAAATAAAAAAATGCAACTTCTATGTACCGTGACTGTAGTTTGCTTGATTAAAAGTAGTTTTTTTTACCAATCAGACACGAGCACAGTACATACAGGTCTGTACTGCTTGAATTTGCCATGAAGTTTTAGGGAAGAGATTGTTCACTTGATCTACTTTTTAGAGGAGATTGTTCACATGGATTGTCCCTTTTATAAGATAAATGCTTAGGCGAATGAGGACAACTACGATGCATACGAATTGTGGCCATACACAGACACCATACAAGTGTCAGATGACATGGAGGCCTTGAGTGATGACGTAACCAGTTACAGAAGAGTGAGACTGAATCCGGCCATACATGTTAAGATGTGTCTCAAGACACAGTAGTGCAATTATAGATTGTTTTGTTTTTGTTTGAATGAGTTTCATTTGGTTTAATTTATTTGGGCTGATATCTAATTTAACAGAACTGTTACCGAAAAAATGGTGTCGAAAATGTAATAGTAAAGCAAAACCAAAATTGTAAAGACGCGCCTCGTAGAAGCATTTGGCATGTCAGATTTATAAATAATGTGCTAGTCGTAATTGTTCGAATATCATTTTTTTAATCAAATGCCAACCATATTCAAAACCGGCAGATTTCAGATAGATCTGCAAGATGTCGTTTGCTTACGATGACGATGAAAGCAATCCATTCGCAGACCCCTCTATTAGACAACACACACAATTCACCCCCAACAACCAGCCCTACGGGGGAACTGCCAGACAGGTGCCGAACCCAGTGGTCACTACTACATCAGTGCCCGGAGCACAGCAGCCCCCTCCCGGCTACCAGGAGACGACCCCTAGAATCAACAATGAGGACCTACTTAGACGCCAAGAGGAGTTAGACAGGAAAGCGGCTGAGCTGCAGAGGAAAGAACAGGTAGAATGAATGAATAATCGTGATATAGTTATCTTCTTGACAAAGATATTTTTATCATAATTTATACTAGGCCGAACAATGAATTATTATAAACACTCGGATTAGAAATTAACTTCTAAATCTTTCTTCTTTGAGTTTTGCAATAGCTTTAATTTCTCGTGTTCCTTTTTACACTACATTTTTACACTTCAGGTATTTTTAGATAATCATTCGAATGTGAAAATACATCTTAATGACAAAATTATTGTTGAGATGTGCAATAAATGAGGTAGCATGATATGCATGGGTGGATTTAGGTGGGACTTCCTCCCCTCAGCGGTTCGAAGCCCTCACCAACCAAAGAGTCCCCCTTGGTATTATTTTATGATATTCATTTTCGGCCGACCAACCCTTAAGTTTTTCAAAAGGCGCCTTCGATATCAAGGTGTACTAATTTGAAGGAAAGTGCGCGCCAAAAAACGCAATTTTTCGGCCAGCATTTTTCAAAAAGTGCCCAAAAGCTTCATTTTTTTTCGAAAATCTGCCTGCGGCGCAGAATATTTTATAAAAATAGGGTCTTTATATTGTTCTGAGAGTGCTCATAATAATTTTGTCGCCCTAAATCATTTGGGCGTCAAAATTTTCGCAGATCCACCCCTGATGGTATGCACGTTTTTGATTTTTTCCGAGTTCAGTCTCGACTGTGGTAAAAGTTAACAGATTTATTAAACCTTTAAATTAGGAGTTGCGGAACCAAGCAGCGGCGAACGGAGGGCCAAGGGAGAACAACTTCCCGCCCCTGCCCGGATTCCTGCACATTCGTCCCTGTTTCTACCAGGACTTCGATGCCGACATCCCTGCCCAGTTCCGCAAGACAGTGCAACTGGTTTACTACTGCTGGATCATATACATAGCCACTCTGCTGTACAACTGGTTCGCAGGTGTAGTTTTCTATGTCTGTGATCCGGACGGAGCTGGAACCTTCAAGTCAGTCAGTAAGTGCTGAAGTTTTTCCGGACCTTTTCGGTTAAACCCCCCTAATTGATAAAAAAATAAAAATGAAAGTTCTTCTTACAAAGTTTGACTAATTTACCTTAAAAATGCAGGGCTGATATCCCGAGCGTTAAATCAAGCTAAAAACTGGCAAAAAATGCGAACTTAACGACCATTATAAACGCATTTAGCATCCTTTTAATAAAATTTATGCTCAGAAAATTGGAGAAAAAAGTCAGTTTGAGGCTCAATTAAGTAAAAATGGTTCATTTTTACCAGTCCTATAATAATATAGTGCATTTCCTACTAATAGTGTCCCATTTATATAATAAAAATTTTCACTTCATTTTTTCATAATTTAGGGGGGGGGTATTAATCGAAAAGACCCTTACACTTTTCTTTAAACATCAGTTGATCTCAAGTTTGCTCGCAAGAACTGCAATAGCACGGTTGTCTTGGCCTTAACGTTAATTTTTCAATACAAACTGATAACAAAAACTAAACAAGGATAGCCGGTTACTGTGCAAGAAAACTACGCATTAGAAAACTACGGTTTAAAAAGTTTTTTTTTCCAGATAAAAGGATCTGACGTAGAAATATAATGTAGGCGTATTAGACAGTCAAAGTAATATAGGCAAGTTGGACAAAAATTTTTGTAGAAAGCTGACTTGAAAAACTAAAAATATTAAAAATAATTTTTTTTTTTCAAAAATTTTGCAGCAAATTTTTGCTGTTTTTGGTCCCCAAAATGAAGTAAAAAAACTCGAAAAAAAACTTATACTTGCTTAAAATTAAGTTTATTTGTAAGCCTTCTCGCTTGCTTTGTTCGCTCGAATTAAGACAAAAAATCAAAAATTTCAAACCAGCTTCGAATCACGACTGACAAGGCTTTATTATGATATATCACTCAGCCCATTCCGATGATTGTTTGTGGTACCTGATTTTGCGTGGAAAACAAAAAAACTAAAACACACCCGAATAACAGTTCTTCCCCAGTTTCAATGGTCGTAACAAAAACAAAATGGATTACAAATAATCGTTTGCCTGTGACCAGGGTTATTTACTGAACGTGAAATTGTTTTTACTGGGGATTATTATTACCGCCATCCGGAATCTTCGTTCGTTGAAAAAAAAGGCCCGGATTGGTTGAAAAATTCAAGCATCAATATGTTGAGTTATTAAATAAACTTCAGTATATAGAGATTAGAGTAAAAGAACAGTTGCAGAGTACAGAACGTTTTAAACGAACAGAAAAAAACACGCGGACATTTTTTCCAATAACAAGTTAAGCAGTAAATAGCCAGCTGCTATGTAAATTACACAGATTTTTCCGAAGACAGTTATCATTGCAAAAAAAATCTAGATAATAAGTTTTTGTTTTCAATTCAAAAATTTTAGTTGAAAGCTTATCTTGTCAAAAACCCATATGCGTTTTATGCTGAATACTGGTAGCACCGTTTATACTTTCAATTGTATTTTGTACCGAAATAAAATTGTGGTAATGATTCAATCAGTGATTTTATTGAGCGGGAATGTTTAGTTCCTCCATGTTTTCTTTAGTGCTTTTTTTCTAATGGTCTTGAAATATGGGAAGTGCAGTTTCTCCTTGCTTTTAAATTTTTGAAATTTTCCGGTTAATCAAAAAATTTAATGGTTTTTCAAACTCTGTTGTCTTTCTAGAGGTGAGAAAAATGATGAAATGAAGAGTTTGTTTCGTTTCAGTCCTACCTGCGGTGTATTTGGTGTTGTTCGCGCCCTGCTCCTATGGCTGTTGGTTCCGAGCAGCCTACAACGCCTTCAAGAGTGACTCATCCTTCAACTTCTTTCTCTTCTTCTTCATGTTCTTCTTCCAGGTTAGACACATAATAAAGACAAACAATTTATGCGGTATCAATTTTTGACTTTTTTTTCCAATCACCAAACATAAGAATCATTTTTACATTGGTTTTGTTAGTTAGAAGTTTGAAAACATTTTTGGAATGGCCTAATTAGTCAACTTGTCAATTTTATAGCAATCGAACTAGTTTTTTGTTCTAGTTCTTTATTCGCCAAAGAAAGCTCGGAGTGCGGTCTGTATTTAGACAACCGCGTATTCATGCTCGTCAGTATTTAGACAAATACTGTATGAACCAATCAGAATCGAGATAAGACATAAATAATCCAAAAAAAAACAATACTTATTTATTAATTTCTTCCTTGTCTCGATTCTGATTGGTTAAAACAGTATTTGTCTAAATACTGACGTATCTGAATACGCGGTTGTCTAAATACTGCTATGTTACCGAAAGCTCGTACGGCCTCAAGGGAGTACTGTTGTCACTTCTCTCTTTTGCACTATTTTTTCAATCGTCCTTACTGAAAAATGCGCTTTTTCAACAGAAAATTTAAAGCAAAATACTTCGAGCATGTCTGCATTTTAACTACTCGTTCTATTCGGAATTCGCCTTGTGTTGGTTGTAAATTTACAAGCTCCGATTTGGCATAATGGATCAATTGAGCAATCTCTCCCCCTGCATCGGCAAAACATAACAAAGGCGTTATCAAATTAAACGCGAGTAGGGAGTTGATGTATAGTTACCGTGCAAGCAGTCAGTTGATTGACCGAAGTATTTTTTTAAATGAAAAGTCGGGAAGAATTTTGAAAATAATGAAAGTTTTGTTATTTTTGCGATCATTGCTTCGAAGAAAGCAAGTTACCAATGCTTGCGTTTCGCTCACTTTTTATCTAAAAACTAAATTTGTTCCATTCGGGCACTTGAAATAGCTTTTAATTACATATTTTGCTAAGTTTATATCAGAAAAAAAGCTGGCTGAGTGTGCGTCATTTTTTCACACTGAAACTAATTTTTGGGATATGATATTGTAAATTTTGGTGTTTTCAACTCGTTTGAGAATCTGGCGTGTGATTTCATATAATTGAAACTAGTTTTAAGTGGTTTTAAACATGCCTCAAGTATCTATGGAGCTTTATATTATATCGGTTGATATCTTTTCGACTTGATGCACTTATTTTGCGTCGTGTGCGTGTTTTTAGTGGGGAGCTTTAAACAGTATTTTTGACTCTAATGGTGTCTGCTCAAATATTGTCGGCTTTGTTACCGTCCGATAATTTTTCTTCCGATGCTTTATTCATAGTCAGTTTTCTTGGCATGTTTTTTTTCAAAATGAGTCAATAAGAGTCGATGAACGTAGTGAAGACTCTTACTTTTACAGATCGTGGTGTTTTTTTTGTTATTTTTTTTCAGGAAAGCCTCCATTTTTCTAATAACTAGAGATGTGCATTCATACATATTTATGCATTGATGAATGCACTTAGATATATATGCACTTGTTGAGTTCACTTTGAATTCATCTGCTGAAAAATAGGTAAATTGAATTCTCCAAATACGTACGTGGAAATGGCTCAAAAACATGGAAGACTTCGGAAGTGTAATTTCATTTTTAGTTTTTCTAGCGCAATAAAAACTTACGCTATTGATCCAGAATTCTCGTATTCAGTTGATTTTATCAACAAAGAGTCAATCAAAAACTCATCTTGAATTTCAAATAGGGTTAAGGCTGTTTATTTGTTTCTTTGAAATTCGAAAAGTTTTAAAAAATGTTTTTTGTTTCCTTGCATTCATTGACTTTTTTCCAACAGTCTGTTGGCTATGTTATTCTCGATAGATCCAGTCTTTTCGACTTGGTGGTTTTCATTTCATCTTAGTTTCTCTCTCATGCTTTTTGTTGTTGTGTTGCAAAGTGAGCCAAGCTCCGCATTGCTTCTGTGTTGAACTTACTGCTTCAAGGTTTTGGTCGGAACATTCTGTGCTACTTACACAGCAACCGGCTGGCCTCAAGCCTTTGTTTTTAATTTGTTTTTGTTGCTGTTAAAATGGAAATCCTTTTTTCTGACTCTTTAAAATGATTTGAACAATATTATTTAGCTTTGCGAACCCAGTGTTTACCAACTATGTTGTGTTGTGTTTTAATCTGTTTTTCTGTTTCAGTTCTGCACATGTGTGCTGTTCGCAGTGGGGCCTAATAACTCGGACTGGGGCATGATGGGCTGGCTGTGTCTGATAGACGCATTCAGTAACATATTCTGCGGCATCGTAGTCCTAGTCTCGGCTGTCCTTTTCACTCTCCTCGCTGTCGGTAAGCATGCCATACACAGTTATTCAGAGACGTCATTCGACAAGCAGCAGTACCTTTTGATGTTGTTTTTAGCCCCGAGCTAGACAGGCCCGCATCTGATATGGCCTGCCTAGCTCTTTAAGTGTGTATTTGCTTCTGAAGCGATTTAAACTTGTTCAAGATGAAAGAACTTCGTCCACTTAAGTTTTTGAAAGGCGTAAGAGTATTAGTTTTGGATAGGATAGTGTCAAGTCAAACAGCGAAAAGCGGATATCCCGTGGGGGTTTGGTATAATAATGATAAAAAAGTAGCGGATTTTAAGGAACAAAAATTTAAGGGTCGCACTGCGACGACAGTAGATGATGTCGGTGGTGCACATTTAAAAGTTTGCTTTCTGGAGGTAAATGTTTTATTGCGCTCATCCTTGTTCACGATGCTATCACGCGGAGAGCAGCCTTTTGAACTGTTTGCAGTTTGTTTTGCGAAGTTTCAATGGCAGCGTGGGACCAAAGCTTTAAAAGTGACCAGTGAAAAATTTAAGGATGAGTTTTTTGGGATGTTTCTCGAGGTGCAGTATAGCGTTGTTCATTTTCACAAATGGATCGGTGTTCAAATCTTTGTTAAAAGAAAAAGGTCTGATTGAATCTTTAGAAGAAAAAAACAAAGAGACCTAAAGGTTAAAAAATTTTTGTAACTTAGTTCGATATTTGGAAAAGATTAATGAGGCCTTGAAATATTGCTCCACGGGACAAAAGGGTGGAAGTCGTCTGCGTAAGACTGCAGTTTTAGATCTGGAGGCGATAGTGGAGCGTCATGGCAGTAAAAAGTTAAGTGTTGGCGATAAGACTAAGCCTTGAACTACGCCTGCCAAAACAATCCTAGATTTTGACAAGGCTTCCCTGAACATGGTTTTTGATTGACGCCCGCTCAGGTAGTTTAACGACGCTCTTACTAGGCTTTCCGGTAAGCGGGTGCCTGCCATGACGGAGTTATCCAGGAGGATGCAATGGCTGAACATGTCGATAAATGAATTGTGGCCATAACTGTCCTATTTGGATGCTTTTGTTAGTTGAAACTGTCACTGATAAAAATTCAAGAGCGGGAAGTGCTGGGATGGTAGAATGCATCGGCTGAAAGCCCTGTAGATTATCGGCTGGATGGATCAAAGATTCTAAAATTTTGACAGCTGGGCTTAAAACCGACACTGGGTCGTACGAGTCTGACGATGTCAGATCTTTGTTTGGGTTCGGGACGGGTATCGCTTTAGAATTTTTCCAACTTTGGGGATTTTTTTTTAAAGAAAGAGAAAGATTTAAAATGTTTGTTCAAAATGCTGTTGCTATTGGTCCGATATGTTTAAGGAGGACTAATCATAAACCATCCGGCCCCAATGTTTTTGAGGGCTTTGCCGCTTTTTTTGAATTTTAGATTCTAGATGGGTAAAACTTAGTGAGCCTTCGAGGTTAAGTTTAAGGATTGTTCTTTTTTTTGCTGTTTGAGCTTTATCACTTTTGGATAGTGATTAAGAAACTGGATTTCCTTTTGTACTTAAAAATTTTGGCCATGATCTTTTTGTTTAAAACCTTTAAGACTGGGATAGGTTAAAAAATATAATTTGATCTTTTTGTTGAGAATGTTTCTTTGTTTTCTAATTGAGCGTTGGAATAAAGAAACGATGCCTTCCAGTGGGATTATAGTGGCGTGTCTTCGGTGAAAACTTCCAGTCTGCGTTCTTAAGTTTAATCAAAATTTTGCGGAGTGTGAACGGTATATCTTCGGCAATAGGAAGAGTTTTTTTATTGGGAAATGTTCTGAGTCTAGCTTTAAAAGTGTTTGCCATGAAAGATTTAGTTAAACAAATGGCGAGCCCAGAGAAAGATCTGGGGATGATGCTGACATGTTACAATCGTTTGGTAGCCTAGTGTGATGATAGTCGTTTAGTGGAGTAAAGGTTGGTCTTCGGGGATGTTGGAGTACCAGAGAGGGGAGTGGGCCGTAGCGTCACAGACTACGTTACTGTGTTCATCAGATATGAGAGTTGTTTTGGTGGATTTAAAGTCTTTGGGGCAGCTAGATCGGGGAGTGAAATAGAAAAATGTGATAGGAAGATAGTGGTTACTGTCCTTTTTTGTATGCATTGCGCCTTCAAAATTGCGGCTTCCACTTTCTAGTTCCTAGTATAGAAGGGAAATATGAATAGCGGTAAGGAGTCCATTTCTCTCGAGTACGGTCCTTTCTAACAATTATATAATTTGGTCCCTTCGAGGGAGTGCAATTTTTCAAGTTTAATTTTGCTTCTTGAGGAACCGCGATATAGATATGGTACTCGCATATTAAGTCTGCAATTTCTTGGGCTTTCACAAAGATGCCATTACAGTTTAATTTGCAGAACGTTCAGCGACTTGGTAGAGAGGTTGTTTGCTTGGTTAATTAGAGAGTGGGTTTCGTTACAGTGGGAGGGGGTGTGAGTCATGGCGTGAATTCGGAGTTTCATTGGTTACAAGGGTAGGTGCGATCATTGGGTGGGATTTGGTTGTTGGAAGGAGATTTCTAACGGGCGGGCTAGTATTATAAGCCAAAGGAGAGGCCAGTATGGAGGATTCAGTATAAGATATTTTGTACTTACAAGAAGGTCATCTCTATTGTGCACTTTCAACTTTTTAAGACCGATTTAAAGTAACTTGAACCACATACGTGGCACCAGACGCTGGTTTGGGTCCTTAAAAATCTTATTGCAAGAAGAGCAGGTATGGGAACTAGGGTTTAGGGTTAATGTCGGCATGAAGTAGTAGGATTAAAATTAATGGAAGAAGCGACCCGACCGACTTAGGAAGCTCCAAAACCAAAAATCCGGAAACAGCATGCTTTACGCGCACCTATGTATGGGGAGGGCAGGGTAGTGACATTTGCGGCTGAATAAACAGCTTGTCGGGTCCTCCACTTGAAGGCGGCACTTCTGGACTCTCTTTGGATGTTTTTTGTGTTCTCTTATGTGATGTCTTGGGTGATTCATGTTTGTGGGTGTGTTTCAGCAATGGCACTTCTGCTGCAGAGAGTTCACGCATTGTATAGGACAACGGACGCCAGTTTCTCAAAAGCTCAGGCCGAGTTCAACACTGGATTCATGACCAACCAACACGTACAGAAAGCGGCTACAAGTGCGGCTACTGCCACTGCTAGAAACGCCTTCAGCAGTAACAATCCATAAACAAAGAACAGTGCGTGAAACGAACCCATAGACCCTAGATCATTGATTTGGCGCACAAAAACGAGAACCGTTGAAGACAGTATTTTATGCTTGGTAAATTGAAATTGGTCAACGGAAACTGAAACACTGCTTTTTTGTAGAATACTAGCTGACATCGGAAATATACTTCAAGGCAGAAACGGTGCAAAAAACGACGTTTAACCCGACCTAGCTGTAAAATATGTGTGCCAAGTAGATGTATTGGACCAAGTGAACACTCTCATCCCTTAATAATTTAGGGGGAGATTGTTCACTTGGTTCAAAGTAACATTTTTTAGCCAATCAGACTTGAATATAGTACATGCAGGCCTTGAGATTGTTCACTTTGTAAATTTAGGGGGGAAATTGGCCTGTATTTTTGCGCCTGTATTTATGCTCAAAAACACCGATACTATCTGAGATTTACTGATCGCGAAGGTTAAACCTCGTCAAAAATTTGGCAGTTATTTAAAAGTTAGTTGTTGGTTCTAATGACTCAAGATTGGTAGAAACGTTTTGATGCTATTTACGTGTAAGTTTTGATAATTTGAATGTTGCTCCGAATTTTAATAAAGATATAATAAATAATAGCACAAGCATTGCCTATATATACTGACTCGTGTATACTTACTGAATCAAATCATTTTAGTTTTCTACTGTCCCTAATGCTGAAGCATTCCATAATATCTTGTCCTTTATCTATTTGTGAAGCGGAGCTAATTGAATTGAAATGTTTAATGACCTCTTGGCATAAAAATTAATCTGTATATCATGTATAGTTGAATTTAACCCAATGGAAATTACCTTATAATGTATTAGCATTTGAAATTGTTGAATGACTTGATGGTAGGATAGAAATTTATTATTTGCGTAACATTTTTGAAATCGAATGCATAATTTATAATTTCATTTCATTGGATTTTTAATCATAGAATGAGTTAAAAAGATGAACAAACGATCATGTCGAAGTTGCAATTGGTCAAAATGTAATTTTTGTTTGAAAAAAATCAATTGAAAAACTAAGAAACAAAGTATGGACTTGTGAATGAACTTTTTTCGAAGCGAGTGTAAGCGTACCTTGTATTGTCCTGCGAGCCATTTTTTGTGTCCAGTAACAGCACAGAGTGATGCAGCGTTTTCTTTCGAACGATGGAAAACTTGCGTGTTGGTTTCAGCATTTGATTGTTTGAAGCCAATTATGCAGTTACTAATATGCTGTGGCGTAGTCTTAATTTGTACTTCTTGATCTAACATTCTGAAACAACTATGTACCGAGCTCTGCTTGCGGTGCAATACGAGTCCATTCTTTCCACAGCAAACCCCTTATTTAATTGTAACAGAACGAAGTGATTTTAATTTTTGAGCATGTCTGCATTTTCAATGCCCGTTCTATTCAAAATGAGTTTTTACACGAGCAAAGCTTGTGCTATAGTATGAACCATCTTTTTTTCCAACCTAAGTCGCAAATATTGTTGCGGCGCAAATATTGTTGCGACAAAATGTGTTCATTTTAAAAGTGTTCATTTTGATCCAGCTATTAAGTTCAGCCAATGCTAAGGTTATTAACGCAAGCTATTATATTACAAATAGCACTTTAGCTTCAAGGTATCATGGATCTGTAGCGTAGAAGTAGGGAAGGAGACCCGCAACAAAATAAGAGGGTTCGAACCTTGGCAGGGTCGGATGTTTTTAATGAACTTTTTCGTATACTAGTTAAATTGCGTCCGCTCTTTAAATTGAGGCATGTTAATTGGTAAATTTCATTTTTTCCCCTTCAAATTGACTGGTAGTGCTAATGCGTCATAATTGGCTTGCGTCACGTAGCAATTATGTACACTCATAATTGGCGTGCGTCGTTTAAGAAATTTTGTAGACTCAAAGTTTTACTCATTCAGTTTTTCCCAGTACTGTTTTCGGTCAAATTTTTGATTGTGTATGCGAAGTGCAACTTCGCCTCTGTGTTGTGGTTATATTGGTGATAATTTTACCAACTCAGATTTTAGTATGTCACTTTTTCAAGATACAAAAACGTACTGAACACCTTGGTGATTTTTTTCAGGAGTCTTGAAATTTGATCACGCTCGATAAACAAAACTCCTTTATCGAACAGCGGAGTTTGGATTCACTGTTTCGATGCTTATTTATCAATGCGAATTCAATTGTTTTACTTCTTGGCAAATTTTATTGAAAAAATTCAAGACGAAATCAAAAAAATGTAGGAAAAATTAGGTAGATCAATTTTCTGACCTTTTCGAAACAAAATTTTTGAATTTTTTGTGCAACTTTCATTTTATTTCCCTCGAGTTGTTTATTATGATATATGTCCTATATCTCATGTAGTTCGAAGCTTCGCGTCGCCTCTGTTTATTTCTACAATGGTATTTCAGTTGTATGTTTTTGAGTATAATTTTTGGAGTAGATTTTATTGTCAGATTACCTGCAAGTAGTGATAGCCATTCGGTTTGCATCGCAAGTGGTGCGTAGCTCTGCTTCGCTTCTGTGTAAAAAGTTAATTAAGCTATTGCTATCTTACATGAGCTCGCCATATAAATTGCAGCGCACGTGTGATTTCAACTCGCAATCATATGATTGCCAGGCACCATCTCTACCTATGCGACACTCACAATTTTTCTGCCGAATAATATCTCAGCCGTTATCTAAGCAGCATGAGCTACATCCGCTCAATGAAACCGCATTCAGTAGTGCCTGGTATTTACCTTTATAACATGCGTGAAAGACAGCTGATTTGAGTAAGCTATTTTTTTTTACTTCGTCGCAGTTGAGTTAGGGTTCGAAGCCCCGCTCATGATGTGTTATTTGTCTAGGTGTGACTGCATACTGTGTGGTTTGATAGAGAAAAAAGAGTTTTATTCAAATTGTTGTTTCTCAAGTCTTGCAGTTCCCGTAAACGGACATTCATTTTTGTAGATTGTCAATCACGAAGCCAGCAAGTGCTCCATTTTTGCTCCGGCGGGGTGAGAACGAACTATATCTATGGGTGTGTAGGAAGGAAGAATAGCGCCGGGTTAAAGTCGGGTTCTTGTTCATCCTTTAGCTAAGATTTGATGGATTCACACAAAGTGAATTTTAAATTAAGCTCATTTGCTTCAGTATATATAAAAGTTGAATGTAAGTGCTCAGGGTCGAATTAAATGAAAATTCAAGCAAAGAATGGACCATTTGAACAATTTACCTCCCCAAAATGCTTCAGGGTGAGATTGCTCACTTGTTTTTTCAGTATTTAGATCTTGTTTGTTGGAGTGAGGGGTGGTCAATGGGGTCGGTGGAGAGATAGTTCTTATATGCCCAAAGATATAGCCGCAGATTGCATACGGAAACATGACCAGAGCTTATGAGCGTTAGTATGACTATACTTGTTTTTCCAATCTAACTCTCGTGAGATCTAAGACGTGAGATCCCAACGCTCGAGGTTGTTGGTTCGAATCCGGTTGAAAACAAAAGTTTAACTAATTCGAGGCTTTCCTATTTGACTTTATAGATATTTTTCGTCCTTTGTGTTTGCCCAGCGCAGCTTTGCCTCTGGGTTTATAACTATGCTCCATAACATGGCGATTTTTGATCTAAAGTTTTCTCGTTCTTATTTTTACGTATTTACAGTGGATGTCTCAATTTTTGCATGGTACTATAATTCACGGCATTTTGTTTACCCTTGCGGTATTGCAATCGGGTACTAGACTTTTTCCCGTAAATAACTTTAGGCACAGAATTGTCAATTTTGTAGGATTAGTAAATTTCAGTCATGCTCAATTTCTTGCGAATACAAATAAAGCTACCTTCGTTTGGGTAGGAAATAGGTGTAGTCTGTTTCCGGTGTTAGTTTGTTTTCAAATAATTTTCTTGAAAAAATATTGATTTTTTTTCTGAATCGTTGTTTTCGGCCTAGTTTCCGTCGGTTCATTTCCCATTTTTTAAAAAAATGAATTTTGTTTTATTTGGTACTGTTTTTTTTGGCTTTTTTTGTTAAGCATGGATTTTATTTTGGTTTTTTTACTCTTCTTGAAAATTTGTAACTTGTCATTTTACCAAATCTGAATTTTAGTAACAAATTTTTATTTAGCTCTTTTTCGATTAAGCGGTCATGGCATAATGAACTTAATTTGCTCAAAGATTGTCGGATTAATTACCACGTCACTGATGTTTTTCTTGTTCTGCAGGCAACTTCCTTTGTAGTTGAAAGTGCAAGTGTTGTTCATTCTAGTCTCAGGTTGGACCTAAAATTGATTTTTTATGAAATCATTTTTTTTTCTGCTCAACTTGTGTCTGCTCAAAAATTGCCGGCTTTATTTCGTCTTCCTTGGCTAATTTAACTTTCAAATTTCTGGCATGTTAGCCTAGAATGATTTTCTATCGAGACATACGAAAATTTGATTTTTGGTAGAACTAGTTTTTTTTCAACGTTTTATTTTTTCGATTGCTTATGTTTTTTATGTTTGCGTTTAATCGCAAGTGGCGCGAAGCTCAGCTTCGCCTCTGTTAAAAATTGACTTAATTTAATGCTGCTTGCCCAATGTATTATCGATATGTTTCCTTAGATTGACTGATGTGATTTTTGCCTAGCAAAGCTCTCATTGCAAAATAGCTCCGTATGCTACCGTCAATGTGGCGTGTCAAGTTCGTTCCCTACTAGCAGAAAAAATGTTCCCTGAGAGCCGAAAAAATTAGATTCACTCAAAGCATTATAGCCTTCATCGTCAAATAAATTATAGACCTTAAAAAAAACACTAATTCTCTAATCAGGTAGAGGGGATCACGCAATAAATTTGAGTTTTCCCGAAACGCTATAAAGGTCTTATTTTCGACATAATTTTGTGCAATATAGTTAAATAAATTGCGGGTTTGTACACTTTCTCGGCCAGCTTATTTGATACTGCTGTTATTGGGATATTTACTGGATAGCGGAAAAAGTTTTGTTCCCGAATATCTAAAAAAATTATCGGTTAGCCGAAAAAAATTAATCCCGGTTATCCGAAAAAAAAATTGTCCCCGGATATCCGAAAAAGTCAAAGCCTATCAAAGTAGGCGCATTTTAATCGCTATCTTATACCATGAAAGCAAAGCTATTTCTTAAAGAAAATGTTTTTAGTATATTGGAACTTTGTTGCTTGGTTTTTAAAATTTGTCTTTTTAGTGATTTTTTAATTTGATGCTAATGACCTTAACAAGAAATTTCAAGTTTTATTGGGCTATACGGGAGTGCCGCTGTGTGGGAACGCACCCGGTCAAGCAGCTAAATTACTACAAATATTCATTCAAAAGCCGAATTTCATCCTAAAAGTAGACTGATGTTGGAGGTAATCCCTCTTGCACGAGGGAGTAAAAGTTTTGTCAGCCAATCAAAGCTCATTATTCAAAAAATTGAAAGTAATACGCGATTCTGTCAGATTTGGACAGTTTAAAGTGCGTTGATTGGTTAAGAATTTCGCATTTGGTCCTTCGCACATGGCGCATGAGAATAAGCCCCCTAGTGTTGAGCAAAAAAATACTGAAATGACAAAATCATCTTCCGAAAACCAGTTTCAGTTGTGTAAAATGAGTGCTGATGTTCATGAAACTCAATAATTGTCACTTGATAACATTGATTCTGTTCATACGCGGCTAAAATGCTGTTTCTCACAAAGGTAAGCGAAAAAGTTGTTCGATTTATTATCGATGTACCAAATCAGCAACTCCGAAGATGCTGTCATGTAGACGCCAGTTTGATCCGGAACTTTGCAATCATAGCCCACGTGGATCATGGGAAAAGCACTCTGGCTGACAGACTTTTGGAAGAGACTGGTACTATCAAAAGGTAATGGTGAAAAAAGTAAAGATGTATATTTTTGATATATGCACTTTATTGCATGCGCTAATAAACAATCAATTTGATTATACGTGTAGTCTTAGTCGAAGCCAGTTAGTGATTGAAGAATCTAGCCTGTCAAATAAAGTTTGAAACCTGGAAAAATTATCATGCTAACAAACTTTTACAGATGCCATTCCAAGAAACCTCAAAGTTGCGAAAAAGATGTGTCAAATAAAAAATTCTTAAGTTAACGCGAAAAGGTGAGTATTTTCAATTAAACGGCACAATTTTGGCATTTTCGACACAAGACTAGAAAGAAAATGCTTGCACTTTGTCAAAACAGTGATGCTCTCGCGTATAATCTTTGATGTTGGGCCATTGAAGTGAAAATACCCGACAGAGTTTTGCAAATATGTCAACTGTTGTATCATTTCACCTGTAGAGGAGTGCACGGGGAGAGACTGCTGGATAATTTGGAAGTGGAAAAGCAAAGAGGCATCACGGTCAAGTCTCAAACTGCAACCATGTAAGAAGTTTTCGTAGGGAGGTTGTTAATTGGAGTTAAGATGGTTCTTAGTTGGAGTTTTCAGCCAATGAGAATGAAGTAAGTTACACACAGTCCCAACCAATTTCGATCAATCGATTTAAATAAGGAGCGTGGGTGAGGTCTACTTATAGCGTCAGCTTAGTGTATTTTTAAAAACCTTTTTTCTAACCTAAGTCGCAAATATTGGTGCCCCTTTTAGGGCAACTTTACAGCTTTTTGATAGCATGTGCTTTGATTTTCGAATAGTAGTAAGTTAACACAGTTGATGCATTGTTAATTCATCAAAGGTAACGAAAAAAGCTATTTAATTCAAACAACATAACTCAATAAAAACTTGATTTTTTTTCTAATTCAATAATATCTCGCAATTTTTTGAAATGCATAATTTATGCATAATATGGCTTTATGCTTTGCGATTTATTACATGCAAAGTTAGTGTGGATGCCTTCAGTTTGTCATATTCCAAATTATTACTTGCAAAATTGTGTCTATTTGTATTTAGTGCCACATTTGCTAATTCGAGGCTTATTTCTATTTTTTCCTATTGCACTTTCTAGAGCTGCTTTCTGTCGTGTTCTTGGTAATGCTTGTGAAGCGAAGCTTCTCCTCTGTGTAATGAGTTGTTTTAAGTGTTATATTAACGCTTGCGATTAGCAAACGTTATCAAACTGGATTATAGACTTTTTTCGGGTTATTAACTGGTTCAATAAAATCAGTTGGGTCGGTTGTTCTGATAGCAACAGAACAGATTGCCTGTCAACTGATTATTTTGAGCATATCTGCCTATCAAATGGCCGCTTCATTCAAATTTTTATTGTTGGTTGTTAATCAACTCTTGTTTTAAGTTTTCTTTTTTCGCTTTTTATTTCTCGCTTTTTGCTCTTGAAGGTTTTTTCGGCTTAAATGATTTTAGCTTATATCTGTATAATTGTCAGATAATTTGTTAATTGAAGCACCAAAATTTTTATTTAGCTTTTGCGCTTACGGAAGGGTAGGCGGGTTTTAAAACTTTTTGGGCCCCTTTTTTGGGTGCGTGCCATTCTTTGTTGTATTGCAAGTGGTGCGATGCTCTGCTTCGTCTGTGTTAAAAACACAGATTTTTTGTATAATTTACGTTTTTTTTGTCAGAGAAGAACGTCATTAGAACGTTTGGCCCGTTTTCAAACGTCTCTTGAAGGGATTTTTTTTTGTTTTACGATTTTATGTAGGAAAGAAGAAAACGAAAAGGCAAAAAAGGAAAGGTGATTACCAGGATTATGAAAAAAGAAAATACACAATACACCATTGACAAACGACATAGTTTTTGTTCCGACCATTGAAAAATGGAGAGGAACTTAGTTTTCGGGTGCGTTTCAATTTTTTCTCTGTTTTCCACACAAACTCAGGTACCGCGAATAATCATTGGAAAGTGTTGAGTGAAATATCATGTTAAAGCCTATTCAGTCGTGATTCAAACGATATTAGAAAATTTAAAGTTTTTTATGTCCCTGGTTTTTTGGTCCATTTTGAGGTATTCCCAGAAGATTTTGACTGAGGCACTTTTCTCATCGACTTGTTAGTTACCCTGCTTACTTGTCAAATTACTTGTTTTTTATTGTTTATTTTCATGCGAAATTAAGTTTTCAGTAGAATTTTTTGTTCTGGCTACTTTATAATAAGAATTTTTAAATAATTATACACTTCAGATCCTTAAGTACTCTTGCGATAAGCAAGGGCATTGCAATCGGGTACGTGACTTTTTTCCCGTAAATATCTTTGTGTCACAGGGCTCATCTCCTAAGGTACTTTGTCTGTAATTTCTTAGCGTTCCCGGCTCACTTGAAAAATATCCTAGTTCGAACTGATATGTAATTTTACTAACCTTGACATGGTATTTCCTTTGTTTCGCTTAAAAAAATTTTTTGGCCCAAGTTTTTTCGGAGTGTTTTGTATCGTCTTAGTGACCTGATTTTGGATCGTTTCAAAGGAAACACAAGTTTTAGTCTTTCACCCGCACTTTTTCATTTCGTTTTGTTTTAACCACTCGTTTTGTGGAACTTTTTTTCGGCTTAATAGGTGTTGGCTTGTTTTGTATCGGCTAAGTAGCCTCTTTTTGCGTCATTTGATGCGCGAAAAAGGTTTCTTTGTGCCTCGGTGTGTTATAAGGGAAGGGGAAGCTAAAATTTTTTTAAGTTTTGAATTAAAAAAAAATTCGGCTTAAAAGTTTATTCTCAGGCATTTTCGGTTTTGTTGCCGCTTCGTTTATTTTGTTTCGATCCTGATTTTTTATTCTATTGTTTGGTCATGTTTTTTTCACAACTATCTGCATTCATTTTGATAGATCTGTTTGTATCGCAAGTGGTACGAAGATCAGCTTCGCCTCGTGTGTAATTAAATTTTATCATCAAAAATACACTACAAGCTTGTATTTTAAAGTACCTCATAGAGATTTGACATCGTAGGGCTTTTTGAATATCGGTTCAATATTTGCTTCTCAAAAAACGATTGTTTTTGTAATACCTTTCCACTGTTTCCTGCCAAAGTAGCACCTTCCAAATATTAATTCGGCAGGAATTAGTAAAAGTTTGAGTAGTTCATGCTCCGTTATTTAGCGACAAGGTAACAATCAGTTTTTGAAGCCGCTGGTTTTGGCTTTGTTTTTTCGATGGAATTTTTTGCTTTTCAAGGCTTGTTTCAAGGCTTTTCTTCTGGAATCTTTTGCCTTGCTGTTTTCTGTGCTTTGCTTGCTTTGCCTGTCCGAATAATTTAAGGAAATCTTTAATTTCAGCTTTGTTGCTGAAGTTGTCTTGTCGAGGGCAGTGTTTAAGCTTCGTTTCGGTTAAAAGTCGACTTAATTTTTTGTTGAATTATCAATTTTTTAGCTCCGCGTGTGTCTGCTCAAGAATTGTCGGCTTTGTAACCGCTTTGTAAGTTTTTTCAACATCAATTTTTTCTTTTTTTTTTGAAGCAATTCAAGTCAAAATCAAGACAATTATAGGAAAAGTTTCGATAGATCCTTTTTTAAATATTTCTTTTTTGATTTTGTTGGCGGCTTTTATCATTATTTTTGTCTGTTAGCTTTTCATGCTATGTACGTGTTATATCGCAAAATGTTTGTTAAAATTCGAAAAGTGCAGGTAATTCATTTCCAAGATAACGTTATTTTTGAAACTTTTGTAATTTCGGTTCATCTGCAAAGAGTGATAGTCATTCAGTTTTTTATGTGGCACGAAGCCCTGAGTTGCCTCTGTTTTGAAACATTTGTATATTGTCGTTATTCTTTTTCCTCACCGAAGGTGTCCCGGAAACTTGGATTCTGTTGTAATTTCGTGGTTCAAAATCAGGTATTACAAAAGCGTTAGATTGGCTCTAGTGATGAATCAAATGAAAGCACTTTCAGTCAAAATATGAGCCAAAATGAAAAGCAGCTTGCAACTTTAACTTAGTGAATGAATGAAGAAATTTTCCTTTTTGTTTTCTGCAAAATATCAAATCCTTCAGAAATCTGGCTTCTGTGTCTCATGAACCCTTCATGTCTCACAAAATTCTCGACAAAGCTCCGTCAAATTTGTTTCTAGCGAAACGAATGTGGATTTTTTGAGCCACATGCTCTGTGACAGGCTATTCTTAATACCCTGTGATCTCAGTCAGTCAAAAGAATGATAAAATACTTTGTTCTAAGAGCAAAATAGTAGCCCATTTTTGATGCTTCTATATTAACCAAGCTTTCAGAAGACTTTTTATCGAAATTATACTCTTGTGATGATGTTGGGTGTCTGGGCTACTTACTGTTGGTTTTGTTATGACTTTGTGAGATATCAGGTATTTAACTTATTTGCTCAAGTCTACTGAGCTGATAGTAAGCAAAATATTATACTATGTTGCAGATTGTTTCAGTTTTGAACTGAACTCAAAGTTTCAAGTTATGTTCCTATAATTGTCTGATTTGAGAAAATTTAATTTGAATCTTCTTTGAGCCTCTAAAATGACTTCCGGTGCTTCCAAAGTCGAACAAGATTTGGAGCGTTTCGACCAGTTCAATCATCAATTGTTTGACTTAATTGATGAAATTGAACAGTCCAAAATTTTGGATTCCATTCTAACAATACCAAGCGTTGTTGCGGCAGGGGACCAGACCTCTGGAAAGAGTAGCGTCCTCGGGAAGCTCTCTGGTGTTCCGTTGCCTACAGGTGATGGTACTGTCACACTTTGCGCCACTCAACTGGCGCTTCGCCGAAGCGCCAACAGATTGATACGGATGATCGCTCCGGAGACTAAAGACATTGCAGACATTGAGGACATCTGTAGGGTAGTCAACGATATCTCACAGCGTCTCCAAACGAAAGACGGGGGAGGATTCATTTTTGATGTGATGCCCAGGATCCGAATTGAGAACCCAGATGCGAGGAACTTGACGGTGGTTGACTTGCCTGGAATCATTCATTCCGCCAATAAGGCCCAAAGCGAGGACGTTGTTGATAGGGTGCGCGATATGGCCTTGAAACACATTCAAGGCAATAGAACTATTATTCTCTGTGTCATCGATTCCACTCGAGATTTGGCTTTAAACAAAATCTTTCAGTTGGTCAATCAAGTGGACCCTAATGGGGATCGAACCGTAGTAGTGTTTACCAAGATTGACAAATGTTTGCAAGACCACTCAAGAATGACTCATTTTTTAGACCAAGTTAAATCGCAGGACTACCACACATTCAAGAATCACGTGTTTGTCAATAGTCTATTGGACGACGACGAAGAGCTCAAATTTTTCCATTTTGTGCACGAAAATTTTGGAATCGATATGGCTAACTGCACGTACAAGTGTCTGTACTCGACAGTTTGTGGAATGCTGCTCAAACCTGTGCTTCTTGAGTTCAGGTCGTCGTGGAATAAAGTCGAAAACTTTCGGTCAAAATTAATCGAGGAAAGAAACCGACTCCCAAGAGATCTTGCGAGCGCAGCTGACATGGCATCCGCGAAGTTGACGGAGTTCATTGAAGTTAGTCGGGAGGCTTTGAAAGGAAACTTTGTGGCTAGACGATCTTGCAATGACTTGTTTTTCAAGTATCGGCAGTGCTTCAGAATTTTCAAGCAAGAATACCAGGACAAAATGGTGGAGGTTCAGCGGTCATTTTTAATGGATGACGTCGCAGTACGTTGGAGACATCAAGAAATGGTGAATTTTGATAACTGGTCCAACTTCAAAGGTTTCGCGATACCGATCATTACGTCATTTCTGAACCCGGCGATCAAATGTCATAATGCGGTTCGCAACATCAACAAAGACGTGGTCTGTGACTTGGTTTGGGAAATTTTCGACGGCCAAGAAACGCATGCAAGCTTCTTGATCGAAAAAATTGGAGAGTTGTGTGACACGCAAGAGCATCTTGTGAATGACAGGCTCCATCAAATGTATGAATACGAGCAATATTTCTACACTGATGGAGAACTCTATGAAAAATTGCTAGAAAGGTACCCGCTATGTTAAAATCTGGGGCGGGATCTAGGGTTTTTGAGATTGGTAAGGAGGATTTTCGAAAAAATTCAAAAATAATGGCAGAAAAAAAATCAAAACTTTTTCTGTCAACAAATCTGAACGAAATCAAATAACCTAAAACTGCTTTTTTTGAACGGGTATCCAATTCTTCATCCAAAAATTCTTTTTTTTGACCGATTAAGTTGCTTATGGCCACAATTTCGGATGAACTATAAAAGAATCTATTGACGACAGGTATGCAATGGGCAGCAGCGGTGGTAGTGGTCTAAGCAATGGAAGGTACTCTGAACCATGGAACGGATCCAATCCAGGAGGTGTTGCTCCTGAACCGCTTCATACCCCAGTAAAAGAGACGAAACCGGATGCTTTTTCCAAAAAGCAGTTTTCGAAACTGTACGGCAAGAAGAAGAAGGCGCCTAGTGGATCTACGTTGACGTTGAACAAAATTGCGGACGACAACGAGAGTCTCTCGGATTTGAAAGCGGTAGTTGACGCCGAGCTGGAATATACTGACGAAGACGTGGGGAAATTCTACAAGGGCCTGGAGTCGAACTTTGAACAAACAAAAGACACGAGGCACAATTTGAGCAAAAAGATGACGTATGACATCGCACTAAAGATCATGAAAGAACTGGCATTGGATCGGATCTGCACGGTGGTTCCGGCGCAGATTTTGAACGGCATGAATGAAGAACTGCAGAGAAAGATCCAGTTGATTGATCGGTCCTGCGCGGAGTTCCTGGAATTGCCCTGGCAGACAACAAGAGCCCAGATGCGAAGGGCGGAAATTGATGAACAGGAGGCGCTCATCAGGAAGTGGAAGGATGACTTCGCTAGGGTCGAGAAACAGATTAACAGTGCCAACATTAAATAATATAGTTGCTCAACACAAAAGCAATTGATACTAAAATAATACTGCTCGCTCGCTTTAATCGCTCTAAATTGAACTGAAACTCAAAAACTTCAAACCAGTTTTTCTCGACACTGGGAAAACTTTTTGAAATTGTTTAAAAGTCGCTCGGATCGGGGTTGAAAAGGCTTCAATATGTTATATCACCCCACTCAATCTCATGATTAATTGTGGTAACTGATTTGGTTGACAAAAAACAATATCATGCTCGTTCACTTTAATCGCTCAAAGAAACACCAAAAATAAAAAATTTTAAACGTTTTTCTCGACACCGAGAAATTTTCTGGGAGTTTTTTGAATTTCGTTTGAATCTCGACGGAAAGGGCGTCAATATGATATATCACGCGACCATTTTCGATTTTTATTTTTGATACCTGATTTTGCGTGGAAAACAAAAAAAAGAAGTCGCCCAGTATAGTCAATTTCGCCTGGTTTATTCAATGTCTCCTGGTGTGTTCATGGTCGTCCAGTTAATTCAAGATTGCCTATTATTGTCAATAACGCCCAGTATAGTCAATGGCATCTAGTATAGTGAATGTCGCCTAGTATAGTCAATGGCGCCCAGTATAGTCAATGGCATCTGGTATGGTAAATGTCGCATAGTATAGTCAATGTCGCATAGTATAGTCAATGTCGCATAGTATAGTCAATGTCGCATAGTATAGTCAATGTCGCATAGTATAGTCAATGTCGCATAGTATAGTCAATGTCGCATAGTATAGTCAATGTCGCATAGTATAGTCAATGTCGCATAGTATAGTCAATGTCGCATAGTATAGTCAATGTCGCATAGTATAGTCAATGTCGCATAGTATAGTCAATGTCGCATAGTATAGTCAATGTCGCATAGTATAGTCAATGTCGCATAGTATAGTCAATATCGCCTAGTATAGTCAATGGAGCCCAATATATTCAATGTCATCTAGTATGCTCAATATTGCCTGTTATTGTGAATGTTGCCTATTATAATAGTCGTGTTTGGATAGCTCAGTGATTGGGGGGGGGAGGGGCAGGGCGATGAAAATAGCAGGAGCAAAATCTTCTAACTTTGATACACATATTCTCGGTCACTGTTTTCGAAAAGTTTTGATCTACGAATAACTTTCGATCTTCGAAAAAATTCAATCCTTTTTCTTTCGCATTTCAATTGGCTGATACAAACTTCTGGGAAGATTAAATACAAATAATTTTGGTTAAAAAACACTTATTGATGTTTTTTTTTCAAAAAATTTTATACGTAACTTTTTTGAACAAAATGCATATGTTCACGTCTCGAATCAAATTTTTTTGTTAACAAAAAATTGGAAACTTCGGTATGCTAGTTCAATGAAATGTTGTTGAATTCTTCCTAAACTCGTTTGAAAGTTTTTTTCCAACTTTTGATGAAGCAAATTGCAGGTTTAATAGTTTTCGTTTCTCTAGTATCTTTGATATAACAGTTTAATTTAACAAGACATCTCGTAAATCGTGACAACGAGCTGAATGCTCCGAGTGCGCTATATCAGTTCTCCAAATATCCAATAGTTTTTGGTAAAGAAAATATAGCTAAAGTATACATTTGGACCTGTGCAGGTAAAAAAAATTAAGTGTTAAATTTTGATTTTTAAGGAAATAATATGATAAATTATCTTAATTTAAATCTGGAACAATTTGATGCACTGGGTAAGAAATATACTGTGTTACAGTGCAACATTATAATTAAAGTTTTCAAAGCATTAAACGAGCCATTGATATATGCTCAAAGCGCATTTAGCATAGTGAGTAGCTCAACCGATCCTGAAGATATGCATTTTTTCGATCCCAACTCGAAACTTTTCTTTGAGAAACTTGGCTGAAAAAACAAACACCAACGAAAGTTTATAAAAATTCTTTTTTCTTTGAAAGTCGGAACAATAAATGGAGCCATTTGCCTGAGATTTTCCCAAAAAGTGGCTAGCATGATTGCAAACGTTTCAAAAGTAGTTTTTTCTTTGTACATAAGAGTCGTTTTCTGGATTGTTAGTGGTGTTTCTTTTATGTCGCACTAAGTTTATTATTGTTGATGACTGTGTTTTTGAATTTTTTTCGACTATTCATTAAAAAGGCAGAAAATTCACAATTAAAATGTTGCGATAAGTCAAATCAAATGGCTTTTGTTTTTGGTAAATTTGGTTTGATATGTTTTATCATTAGTTAGTTTATTGAAAATATGAAGCCTTGATGGCACAATTGAAAAGAAAAAATATTCTTTAGGCCTGGAGATCGGATTTTTGATTCTCGAAGAAGGGATACTTTTTCAAGTTCATTCATATTTGTACTTTTTAGCTTTTAGATCTCGTTTTGCGTTTTATCACTTGTGTTTGCGAAATGTATTTTTACCTCTAAGTGAAAATTTTTGTCACAAAAAAATCAGGTGCCACAAACAAAGGTCAGACAAATTTGAGTGATATTGAGTTTTTAAGCCTTTTCAGTGTTTCTTTTTAGTGGCAATGTGTTCATTATTTGGTGGTACTTTTGCTATAATCACGATCTTATTTCATAGCATCTGTTCTCTGCTTTCCTTTTGTTTAGTTTTTGTGAATATTTAAGCCTCCGTGGCTGAGTGGTTAGTGCATGAGACTCATGTTTTTAGGTCGCAGATCGAATCCGAGACCTAGCCGAATTTTTACTAGCTCGAGACTTATTTCTGCTTTTTCTTGTGGCACTTTTTATAGTTGTTGTTCTCGCTAGTCTATGCGAAGCGCAGCTTCGTCCCTGTGTTTTGAGATATTTTTTTCTCTTAGTCTCAAGAATGAATAAAAATTACGGTCTTGTTTAGTTATCTGAAATCTTGATTTTAAACAACAATCCGATTTTCGATTTTGTAAGTAAAGATTCGTTAACTTAGTTAGAGTTTCGCATATGCTTTTTATGATTCATAAATGTATTAGAGAACGGATGACTTCCAAATAACTTTTTAAGTTTCGAAAGCATGTCGCAGTTGTTTCACATGTCTTGCCACTTGCTCATAGTATTGTTCCGACTTTCGAAGAAAACGCAATTTATATGCTTGGTGTGGTTTTTTTATTCCGTCAATTTTTGGGCGATCGAAATAATAGTTTTTAACAAAAAATTTTTTATACCCCATTGAAGATATCGACTCCCTTAAATCAAATTTAAACAGATATTTTACCTCTAAGATTTTATCTATAATCCTGAAAGCTTAACGCATGTTATTTATGCGCGGCGAATTATCGTCGTTCCAAATTGAATTGAGGCTAGCTAGTCGGTCGTATTAATTTCGCACAATTCAAATTTTCACACTTGATCTTTGATATTGTCTAAATTTCGGTAGTTTTTCGATTTTTTCTTTTCCCAAAAAACTATTCGATGTGGATTAAGGGGCAGTCGGAGCATTCAGGACTTTATGCTGATCTACGAGCAGTCTTGTTGCATTACAAATGGTGCGAAAGTTTGATTCGCCTCTATTATAAATGTTGCTGAAGCTGCATGAATAATATAGTAATGGCGCAGACGAGAACTCGTTTTGCTTGCAAAAGTTTTTTGTCCGTTTTTCTTTTTACCGGTTGAGTTTTTAATAGATCGCTTGCTTTTATATGTGAACGAATGAGTTTTTAATTACTGGCGCTTCCGTGTTGATTCTGAATCTCCAATTGCCATGTATATGTCATCCAAATTAAAAAGTCGAGCTAACAGTTGAGTTTTTATCATGAAGTACTATTACTGGATTGATTCATTTATTTTTCCTTCATCTTCAACTTAGAATCAGTAAAAATTTGATCAATTGATACTTTATATCGCTTTATACTTTTCGATTTGGTAGATTAACAACCTTGCAATGTCAAAAATGATTTTGTGTTTAAAGAAAATGTGCTTCCAATTTGAATTTAAAGAGTTATCTCTATTTTAGTGCGTTAGAAATTTCCAGCGTCGGTTTTAAGGTGGTTTTATTGAAGGTAAAAATGTTTTTATTTAGTCAAAAGAGATGCATATTTTTGAAACTATTCATTTAAAAGAATTGAACTGCAAACGAAACGTAGAACTCACTGACTTCAATGCTTTGGTTAATAATTTAACATTAACTAAGCTATGGCTATCGCTATGGCTCTCTTACAAGAGATCGCCATGTAAATTGCAGCGCACGTGCGAATTGAACCCGCAATCATATGATTGCTGGGCACCATCACTAACGATGAGCCATAATGCGAATAAAGTTTATTGTTGTTCTTAGATCCCTTTACTGTTGTAAATTGCATTCCTCACGTAAATCTATGCGGTCCCGTGTGAATGACTTGCTTGCATTTCCCAGTTGCTCTTGGGTATTTTTTGCTCTGCTGACCACCAGAAATAAAAACTAGCATGCTCTTGATATCAATGTTGCAACTTGATATCAATGTTCTGAGTTTCTGGTCAGCTGATAATGAGCTGACGTTCAACCAATCAAAATGCAGCCTAGTAATTTTACAGGCTCAGTTTACTGCCAATGTCTGTATTGAGCAAGGTTTGGTTGAGTGTAAAATTTTACAGATCTTGGTTTTGACGTTTCTGCCAATATGAATTGGAACGTAAGGTAGTAAAACCTAAGACAGCCTCAAGAAATTTCATTGCGCTAAGAACTAGTTTTTCTTGCAACGAACGCTGTAACGCTGAATATAATCTACAACAATCGTGCTTCGATTCTGCTTGGTGTCTCAGTTTTGAATTCGAAGAAAATGTGAGACGCTTCATCGCCCATGACTTGAAAGGTGCTATGGTCAATGAAGTTATTAAAATCTGTCACAGATTTTAAAATCGTTTTTTTTTTAATTGAGCGGGACTTAAGTTTATATGCTTTGCTAATTGGCAGAAGAAGAGGTACTTTGAACATAGTTTTTTCAAGCCTATATTGAATTCAAATAGGGTTTCAAGGAAGTTCTTGTTGTATCGGAAAAATTTATATTTTCAGAAAAGCTTACCGCTAGAGGTGCCGAGAGCCAAAATATCACGAGACGAAATTCCTAAAATATGCAGCCAAAAAAAGACATTTTTTGGTTTTCTCATTACGAGGCCAAACTGTGCACCGGATAGGAGCACAATTTTGTGTCTGTATGTTCGTGGATTCCAGAGACAAGTCTTAAAATATGTTCCAAAATGTAAGTGGATTCCACAAACAAAATTCCAGTGGATTCCGCTTTCATATACCGGTAACGTAAATTTTGTCGGCACATTTGTTTTGTTGCGGTTTTTCTTCTTCACAAGTTTATCGACTGCTCTTGCTATTTAAAAAAAATAACCTAGTTTTTTAGTGGCTGTCCGAATCAAGCTGAAAACAATGGTGATTGAAGAAGACTTCTTTCATTAAAAATATGACCGTGGCCCGCAACAAATTAAAATTTTAACGTGGAAAGTTTATCGAAAACTTCTGGTGTTTTTTTAATGTGGTTTCTGTACTGTTTAGGCGTCACAAGATGGGTAAGAGAGAGTACACTTTAAACTTGATCGACACTCCCGGACACATTGACTTCAACTTCGAAGTGTCACGATCCCTATCTGCAATACAGGCTGTCCTTCTACTCGTGGACGCCAACGAGGGCATACAAGCACAGACCATAGGTAAAGAGAGTTAAAAAAGTTAGAACAGAATTAATCAAAAAGAGCAATCTGTCAATTTTGAGCATTTTGGATACAACATTTTGGCTCGTCTTAAGTTAACTGTTGACAAATCGAGAAGAGATAATTCTTCCTTTCTTAAGTTTGATGCGAAGCAGAATCTGAGTTATATGCTTCCGAATGCGAACATATATTTTTCTTACTGACAAATGCAATTAAAGCGTGAGTAGGTCTCTACCAAATCGACAAAAAGGTATGAATAGTTCGTAGGATCCTACCTCAAAATTGATTAAAAAAGGTTTTTCAGCATTGAGTCAATGATTTGTTTTGAGTTTTTTCGCTTTTGTTTAAGGGAATTTCTTCCTGGCATTTGAACGTAATCTAGTCATCATTCCTACTTTAAACAAAATTGACTTGAAAACGGCAATTCCCGATCTAGTGACAAAGCAGATGAAGGAGGTTTTTGGAATGCGAGACGATGAGTTTATACGCGTGAGTGCCAAAGCTGGAACAGGAATCCAGGAACTGTTGGACGCTATTGTTGAAAGGGTTCCCCCTCCCCAAGTGAAACGACTGGAGCCTCTTAAAGCTTTGGTTTTTGACTCCCAGTTTGTGGGAGGTAAAGGATATCGGTGCAGTGTATTTATACATGCGGGAGTGCTCTCGAAGAACCAAGATGTGCAATTGTACAATAGGTGAGATGGCACTTTTTTAGACATTTTTGAATTTATTTGTCCTACATTAACAATATTTGCAACGGAAATTTGTCCTACATTAACAGAAATTGTTCATGCATATTTTGAAATTTTTAAACGTATATTTTATTGCGATCCATAAATTATCACAAGTTTTGCGTCAATGAAATTCAAATTAGCACAGGAAAACTTCGAAAACAGTTTGGTAAACTTGTGAATTTAATGCCGGCAAATTGTAAATTCAAATTGCGTGTAAATACAACAAGACTGCTCGTATCAGGGCGAAGCCCTGAATGTTCTGACTGCCTTTTAAGGTTTATGGAGCAGTAATAGCATTTAAAAATTAAATGTAATAAAACAAAATGAAATTTTTTTTCTAAGATTTGGAATTTTTTTGAAAATCATCCCCTCAAGTACAAAAGGATAGATTTCGCTGGTAACAAATCAATTATGGCAAATAAGCTTCTTTCAACCAATTTGGAACGATTTCTAAGACGGATTAAATCTTCGCTTACGCGTTAATAGCGGGAAATATATCCCTCGTTACTGATCACAGGTGAAATATCTTTTCAAATTTGAGCTCAAGACAACAATACCTTTCTAATGACATAAAAAATTTCCGTCAAAAATGGCTAGTTAAAAAGTCGAAATTTGTCTGAAGAAAAAAAAACCCACCCCGAGCACAAATATTCCGTTACTTTCGTATCAGCCTTAGTACTTCTTCTACCATTGAGTTGTGCAAGGTGTCTGTTAGTCATGAAAAAGTCTTACATTTTCTTCAGTCGGCAAATGACTCTGCTTCTGTCTGCTGTGACGATGTCCCGCCGGCTTTCCTAAAACATTGTGCATTTCAACTGAGTCCTCTAGTGGCTGCTCTCTATGAAGACATTTTAAAGCGAAAAAAGTGGCCCGATGTTTGGAAAACTGCGTACATAACTCCTCTTTACAAGAAGGATAGTCACAGTGATGTGTCCAATTATCGTCCCATCAGCCTGCTACCGAAACTTTCCCTCGGTCTGGAGCGTATCTTATTTGATTACATTTACACTAGCATTAGGCCGAAAATTACGAAATACCAATCCGGCTTTATGTCAAGGCGTTCAACTGTCACGCAACTGTTAAACTTCTGTGATGAGCTTTATAGGAATCACGAACTTGGTATTTCGTCTTTTGTTTTTTATGTGGATATCAAAAAGGCGTTTGACTCGGTTCCTCACCATAAATTGCTCAAAAAACTTGCGGATTTCGGTTTGGATGTTAGCTTTCTCCAATTATTTAAAAGTTATCTTTCTGGACGCTTTCAACGTGTGCGAATCAATGGTGTGCTCTCTGATTTTGTAAGCATTATGAGTGGTGTCCCGCAAGGTAGTATTCTGGGGCCGTTATTGTTCTTGTTATTTGTGAACGATCTTCCTGATTATCTCTTATCCAAGCCATCCCTCTTTGCTGATGATCTGAAATGCTGCAGTACCTCTGTTCCCGTACTTCAACGCGATCTAGATGCTGTTATCAATTGGTGTGGCGAAAATTCTCTCGATTTACATCCTGACAAATGTAAAGTCCTGAAGTTTTTTAACCACAGCTCTGAAAACCCAGATCTCTATATTGGTGATCACAAAATCGATGAATCTTTAGACGTCAAAGATCTTGGGATCATTTTCAGTTCTGATTTATCGTGGTCGCACCATGTTTCTGAAAAGTTATTCAAGTGCAACAAAGTGTACTTTATGTTAAAGCGAAATGTTCCGAGCAGTACTCCGAGACAAACGAAGGTTCGGCTCTACAAAGCATGTATTCTATCTGTGCTTACTTATGGTTCTTCTATCTGGATACCTAACAAGACCGACTTATCCAAGCTCGAAGCTTTCAACAGAAGATGTGTGAGATGGATCGGTCTCAGGTGATTATAAAACGTCACTGATAAAGTTAGGAATCTATCCTCTGCCATATCATATTGAAATCTCAAATCTTCTGTTTTTCCATAAACTGTTTCAGGACAAGTACGATTTAAACCCCTTCGATTTTGTTGATATAAATGACCCATCTGTATCATTACGGAGTGTTGATATATACTCTTTCAAATTAAAGAAGCGAAAATACGAGAAGACAAAGTCCTTTTATTTTGACCGTATTCCTAGACTATTGAATTTCATGAAGCTTGATGTCCGTCTATCATTCCCCCGGTACAAGCGTGAAGTTATGAAGTTCTATGATACGAAGCTACGTCAAACATTCGAAGAAAACATTCCGTGTACTTGGTATGGAAAGTGCTGCTGTACCTTCTGCCGGTCATAGTTTATTTTATATATTTATATTTTTTTTTTCGTTTTATGTTTGCATTTCATTATTTGTGATTGTAAACTCCCCACGGGGTAAATTAAGCCTTCCTCTCTCTCTCTCTCTCTCTATCGAAAGTCGGAACAACAAGACTGCTCGTATGAGGGCGGAGCCGTGAACGTTCCGACTGCCTTTCAAGGTCCATGGAGTAGTAATAACAAGAAAAAATTCAATGTAATAAAATAAAATTAAAAAAAAAACTAAAGAATTTTGAGATCTTTTTGTGAAATCATCACCCCACACGCCATATAAGGTACGAAGTGATAGATTTCGCTTCAAGTAACAAATCTGTAATGGCAAATAAGCTTCGTTCAACCAATTTGGAACTATTTTTAAAACGGGTTAAATCTTCGCTTATGCGGAATAGCGCGAAATATATCGCGCGTTAAGTGTCCCAAATTGGCCAAAATGACAATGTTTAAACCCCAATAACTTTACGAAAAATAATCACAGCTGAAATATCTTTTCAAATTTAAGCTTAGGACAACAATTCCTTTTGAATGATATAAAAATTTCCGTCAAAATTGGCTAGTTGAAAACTCGAAATTTGTCTGAAGAAAAAACCACCTGAGCACAAATATTCCATTACTTAAGTAATGCGTGAAATATAATTTTGAATTAATCAGGTTATTTATTTACACGCATTTTTGAATTTATTATTTGCCCACCTTAAATAAAGTCGGAACAATAATCTGAAAACAGTTTAGTTAATAATATAAATTCAAAAATGCGTGTAAATAAATAACCTAATTCAAAATTTTATTTCACGCATTTATGAACGCACAACCCTAGTCAATAGAGCAAAGTATAACCTTTAAGATGCATAATAATTTTCAGTGAGATCTCGTGTCAAGTGAGAGAAGTGGGTTTGTTCAGTCCAGACCCAAAGGAGTGTGAACAACTGGAGGCCGGTCAGGTGGGCTATGCCCTGCTGAACCACAAGAAACTAGAAGACGTGAAACACTTAGTAGGCGATACATTATTTCACAAGGACACTAAACGCGATTCGTTCGAGGCGTATAGCAAGTAAGTGGATATTTGGGGGAGGGGGGTCCCTCATGCGCGAGGAACTGAAAGCACAACAATTTCGTCAGCCAATCAGTTGATAATTCATAAATTACAATGAAATAAATGTCATTCGAAATAACGTTCATTCGAGTCATCAGTCCGTTTTGGAAAATGTGAAGGGCAGTGGTTGCTTGGGTGTTTTTGCGCATGAGAAAAGCCTCCGGCGTTTGTCTACGATTAATCAATTAAGAAGCCCCGTCAAGTTTTATGGCTTGAGCGTGTACAGGGCAAGGAGTTTGTATAATGAAGTAATTTTCAAAAAGGCTAGTACGGTATGCGAAAATTTAAAAACATAAACTGAGAGGTTAAAAAAGTGTGGCGTTTTTTACGTATGATAAGAAATGTAACTTTATTGTGCAGGTGGGCATAGTTGATCTCATGAGCGTCGAGCATGTAATCGCTTGGACTGCTTGATTTTGAGAAGCTTGCAGGTTCTGTATGAGAGGTGTTGGTGGTTCCATGGTAGCGAGAGGGGGAAAATAGTTGAGAATTGGGCTAATCAAAGCTTTATTTATCAAAGTATAGCATATGTTTTGAACAAGAAGGGGTGGGGGGTATAATATTAAAGCTAAATGCAATAAAATCTGCAAATTTTGTTGTAAAAAGTTAACAAAGCAACCTAATTAGCAATAGACTGTAAGGTCTGGCTTTACTTTTGATTTCTGATTTTAGGTTATGTTAATTAAGTTTTCAATTGCTGTTCCGTCATTAGATGCGACCTAAAAAAGAGACATGCAATACATAGGTGCTCAAATATTTCATCAGGTTTATCCCAGAATCTACACTCAAGGTTTTCGATCGCCCCAATCTACGAAGGGTCGCTTTATCCCTTAGTCCTGAGAGTATCAATCTGTATCTTTCATTTTTCTGATACGGTCTCAGTTTTGCATTGCTCCACAAACTTTTACAAATGATCATCAATTCATGTTTTGCCATCCCAAAACGTAGGCAGCTTTTTTTCTATTCTGCGAGAAATATATATCGGCAGAGTTAGGTAGAGGCTATAATATATATCCCGAAAAAAAGTAAATTTATCAATTTTAAAAAAGATTTCATCTTTTCAAGTTTTTGGTAGCCAAAATCGACAACATTTATTCCCAATTTTTGGAGAAAGATTATTGTTTTAATTATTGATTTTCTTAAGCTAATTTCCAGCTGTGCTGCTTCACATTTAACATCAAGTATATCAAACAGGGCTTCCAAGGAATCAATTTTAGTATAACACAAAAAATCATTTTTGATTGGCATTGGGCTTAGCATGTTTATTTTCTTCAATTTGTTGCAATATTGGCTCAATGCTTGCAATGAACATTAAAGCAGATAGGGGGTCAGCTTGTCGCACCCCTCTTGTATTTTCTTATATTTTCTCGTTGCTTTTAAAACCTTTATTCTCCACCAATGAAAGGATTGGCTTACATTTTATTTAGGCTCAATAAGTTTTCTTGTAATCATAATTTTTCCAGTAGTGAAAAAGAAAACAGCGATCAATTTTGTCGAATGTTTTGCTAAAGTCATTGACAAGCAAACAGTCATCTTGCAAAAGGCAGTTCAATTTGAACCTAATTAGTTTTATCAAGATATTCATTTGCCTTTCAGGTAGATGGGCGATCTAATGTTTTTAATCAGTTGTTATAAACAAGTTAAAAATCTGGCGGCCAACACGTGTTATAGAGTTTTTTGTCAGTGTTTTTTAAACTGACTGGCCTAAAATCTAAGGTTTGCTTGGTGTCTTGGATTCAAGGCAATACTGAGATTATTGTCATCTACATGGAACCTGGAAAGTTAGCCTGGTTTTTGGGAAAGCTTTGAAGATGCCGTTAGTCTGTCCATCAGGCCCTGGTGCACTCCGCATTTTAGTTTTCTGATAGCGCTGATGATTTTTTCCACTGTTAAAGATTTTTCAAGAAATTCAATTTGCTCTTTTGAAAGTTTATTTTTTCGGGCGAAATTGCGATTGCCCTTTGTTCTTTTTGTATAAGATCTACCCTTTCTGTACAAATCTGAGTAGAATGTGTGAAAAACTTATATGGTTTCATCGGTACTAGAAGATGTTGCATCACCTTCTTTCAATCTAATTAAGTTTTTTTTTGTGATATAATCTCTTGTGAGTCATTTCTGCACAGTGGCAGAGGCACCATTGTTTATGTCCATAAGAAAAATTTCTCAATTTTTGTCCGTAATGTTTCAAGATACAATTCACAAAGTTGTTTTTTTTTTTGCTCTGTTGAGGTTCATCACATTATATTTTTCATTGTTTGTTTGGGCGAGCATCCTCAAGTTCTTCTTTACTAAATTGCTTTTTCCTATTAAGTTTGATATTCATTCAAAACATTGGCAATCGGCTCTTCCAACTATCGTATTTGATCTCAGCCGTCTCGCAACTCGTCGTCTCCCAATATTTCATAATGTCATATCAGATCTCTTTTCCATTGGGCTATATGACATCTTCGTTTAGCTTCCTGTAACTCTGGCCTCTCCTTGGTTTTCAACTAAACTCTCTTTCATAGATGAAAGCAAACAATGGTTCTTATGATACTACTGTCCCTTGTATCGGGTTCCGCATTTTGTCAGAATATAGTCGATTCTTGATACCGTACCACTCATGTTACAATAATGAGTAAACTTTTTACGTTTTGGATCATCAACTAAAGCACTTATTCCATAAGGCATTAGAACGCATTTCTCGAAACGTCGGTTGGTCACAAAACTTCATTCCGTTTCTAAAACTTTCCTGCTATTTGTGTCTTATTTATGTTCAAAAGCGTTCATGTTCCCTGCCAATACAATTGAATCTCTATTCGAGTTAGCATGACTAAGCCCTTCCTGTTTTTTGTTGTATGGAATCAACATAGTTTTCCGTTCGGCAATAGAAATTCCCAATGTATGTAAAGTTTTTTCTATGTAAAAAATCATCGTAACGATGAACAACTGAAGGGCTTAATCTGTTTGTGCATGTTGTTCTTAAACCCCCTGCACACCCAATAGATGGTACACAGTACCATTCCACTTAAAAATATGAAAAGACGTCCGAAAGTAATGAATGAACATCTTTTATTTTTTCTCTTGTATACAAAGTATGAAGTTTTCACAGTTGTCTCACTGGATCTGATTAACAATTTCAATTAATTTTGAGGTCTGTTGAGACGATTTGATTGGTTCGAACAAATGCTAAAGCTGTTCTCTATTGTTATTCTCTACGAGTAGAAGCATTCTTTTGATTTTTTGTTTTATTTGGTATTTGACCGATTACGTGGACTTAATGAAGGTTTCCGTTTCCGGTTAGCTTAGTCCCATCTATAGTTGCAGCAGGTTGGTTATCTCAAGGTCTCTCAGGGGTTACTTTTTCAGTTGGTGAGTAACAGGGGTCAGGCGACTCGTCGCTTGACGTATTAGACTCATCATTAAGTTTTGAAATTGCTGATTGATTGCTTCGAAGTGAGTTCGTTGGGTATTCCTCCTCATTTTCGTGAAGTGATGCTTAGTTTTCACTTGCATCGGTTATGGCTGTAGCAGTGATATCTTCACTATTAGTTTCTGATTGGTTCATGACCTTGAATTGGGCATTCATTGCAAAGTGAAAAGATTGACAGTGGAAAGATACCGGTATGTCCATCCAAGTGCAAGCGTTTTCGGTTTTGTCATTATAAGACCATTTTTAGACTTCCCCGGTCTCAGATACCTTTACTGGCACTTTAAGCACCGCGTATCCATTGTAGAAGACTCCGACAGATGTTGTTTCAGTTTAGCGGAAAAGTTTTCCTAGTAGCCTAACGTTTTCGGGCAATAAAATAAAAGGCGCTTTTTCGAATTTTGATGTTAAGAATCTTAGAATATGCTGGTCTTTCATATTGTTAGCTATTTTTCGTGTCTCTTTTTCCTTTCCTCTGGTGTTTCCTTAGTTTTGAGACAATAGATGGCAGGTTCAAGTTAAATAGCTGAATCGTTACTTGGACTTCGAACATAATTTATAATTTATTTCAAAAGCCAAATTTGGCGAAAGAAGTGTAAAACTTGAATTTTTGAATAACATTTCATCTAGATTAAATTTGTATTTACGGAGTAATGTAATTGCAAAATCTATCTTAGTACCATGAACAATTGAGTGAAATTGAAATTACTTTATTATGCAGTATAGTTTTCAAATTTAATATATGCACTATACTCAAAATTGCCAGCTATTGCAACATATCACGATTCTTTGTTATATGAGTATATTTTATGAGAGATTTTAATTTTAACACGCAGTGGGAGGATGTTAATTCATACCTAAGTGAACTTAATGAAAGTGGTTGACTAAGCTCAAAGTTAAAATCATCAACAAATGTAATCTTATGTTTTGTTCGTTTTTGATGTGATTTAGAGTGGCGACGCCTCAGAGGATGGTGTTCGCGGGAGTGTTCACAGACCAGTTGTCGGAACTGGATAGTCTCTCGTCAGCTATAGAGAAACTCTGTCTCAATGACAGCAGTGTGTTGGTGGCCAAGGACAGCAACCACGCACTAGGACAGGGCTGGAGGCTAGGATTTCTCGGTAGGTGAAGTTTCTCGACTCTCTGATTCTTGAAAAGTTGTGACGCAGCTTTAAACTAGGGAGAGTTGACTAAAACTGATGTACAATATGCCTATTTTACTACGGCTTTCATTTTACTATGACTTTTAACTTCTAGACTTTCATTCAGTTCATTTAATCAGACGAATTTGAAAAACTTTTGTTTTTTTAAGACTATGGTCGGAACATTCTGTGCTATGGTCGAAACATTCTGTGATCCTTGTTTTTTTCCGTATGTCTCAAACTGTTTAGTTGCCAGGTGTGTTGCACATGGAGATTTTCATGCAGCGACTGGAGCAGGAGTTCGGAGCATCTCCAGTGGTCACATTGCCCAGTGTGCCTTACAGGGTCAAACTGAAGTACGACAAACAGATCAAAGAACACAGAGGCCAACAGGTCATCGAGATCAGGTCAGGTGAAGGTCACCCACGGCTCAACATGTAGATTGAGATTATTCGAAGAAATGAATGAATCGTATTCTAATTAAATCTAAAAGCCTGAATAAGTTAGCTTTTTTCCGCTTCGAAACGAAGCCACTTTTGATCGGTGGAGTCGACTATCGGTTTTCGGAGCTGCAAATATTAGGAAGGTTTGAAGAATCTTTTTTTTGGTTTTGGAGTATCTGGTGGCAACCAAACTGCTCTGTGTGCTTGTCTATTAGCTTAAACAGCTTATTGCATCATTTTGGTAGAAACCGAACGAATATTAGCTGTAATACATTGGTAAACAACCTTAAGTTTCCCGTATATGAGTGCTTTGTGCATATGGCATCTCAAATTGTAAATTTTAAGTTTGGTTCACTTGGTTCACTTTTCAATTGCTATTAGATCTAAATAACTTCAGCCCGTCAGCGAGAGCAAGTGACTTGTAATCAGGTACTAGACATATGTCCTAAACAGTTTTTCTCAGAGTTTCTGCTGCTCAATTTCTGCTTCTTAGTTCATTGGAGGCGCTAATTAATTTTTTAATATAATTTTACGCTTGCGATTAGCAAGCGTTAATTAATTTTTTTTCCAAATGCAATTTAAAATATCTGTTATGCTTTTCAAGTATATTCTTTCCAAGGCGTTGGTTTTTTCTTTATTATTTTAACAGTTGGTTATTGTTTGATAAAAACCTGTATATTGAAAGGGTATGGGATTCGGTTTTTTCTTTTTCATTTTTTGAGACCGGGTTTTTTCACTTTTAAAAAACTTAGTTTTTTTCAAAAACATTTTTTTTCGATTTGCAAAAAGGTAGTATCAATCCAAAGACCGCTCACTCACGCCTAGTCTTTTTACCGTACCCCAATGTCAACAGCCTTCGAACAAGTCCGCGAGAGGAGTTTTTGACCCAATTTTTTTTCTCGTTTTCTCGAAAACTACCCTGACAAATCAGATTTTGAGTTCAATAGATAAATCAGGTTATGGAAAGCTCCCCGGCTTAAGCGTCTACTCCCTAATGTTTTTCCAAAAAAATTATGGCCCTCGGAAAGGTCAAAATTTTAATTTTTTTAAAAATTTTTCTTCAAAATTTTGACTTTTCTCGAAATCTACTAACCCAAGTCTGAGAATTTCGTTTCAACCGAAAGCACTGATTAATTGAAGCTCCTCTGCATCAGCGCTATTACCAAAACTTTTCTCCGCAAAAATATTATTGCTCTCCGAGAAATCAAATAGTTACACAACAAAGCTTGTGTGATAGTATGAACTCTCTTTTTCCAAGCTAAGTCGCAAATATTTTTGCGACGCAAATATAGTTGCGACAAAATGTGTTCGTTCTGATCAATGGCCAGCTATTCAGTACAGCCAATTCTAAGGCTTTTAACACAGACTATTATATTACAAATAGCCTTTTAGATTCAAGATGTCATGGATCTGTAGCGTAGAGATGGGGAGGAGACCCGTAACAAAATAAAAGGGTTCGAACCTCCGGGGCAGGGTCGGATGTTTTAAATGAACTTTTTCGTATGCTAGTTAAATTTTGTTCGCTCTATAAATTGAGGCATGTTAGTTGGTAAAATTCATTTTTTTTTCCAAATTGACTGGTAGTGCTAATGCGTCATAATTGGCGTGCGTCACTTAAGAAAATTTGTAGACTCAAAGTTTTACTCATTCAGTTTTTCCCAGTAGCGTTTTCGGTCAAATGTTGCTTGTGTATGCGAAGTGCAACTTCGCCTGTGTTTATGTTGGTGATAATTTTACTAATTTTACGAGTTGCGTGAAGCTGCCTGAGTGCTATGGCCATATTTTTCTTGCCAAAAAGAGTTACCGTCTTCGGAAACATCATAATTGTGATTTTCTGACCGTTTTTAAAATCTTACCACTTTTTGCAAAAACTACCCTCCCAAATCGAAGATATTGAATTCAATCGAACGAACACAATGTGTGAAGCTCCATTGCAAAAACTTCAGGCCCAAATTTTTGACACAAACTTTTGTATTTTTTGTTTTCTCGAAAACTACCCTACAAAGTCTGAGATTTTGATTTAAATCAAAAGAACGGAATGTGAGTCCGTTCAATAGGACGGCTTGTGCTGCTCCCATTTTCCTAACACAAAAGTTCGGCTCTCGGAAAAGTCAAGTTTTTGATTTTTTTCAAACTGTTTGACTTCTCTCAAAAATTACCCAGCTAAGTTTGAGACTTTGAGTTCAACGGATAGATCAGGCTGTGGGATGCTCCTCGACATAATCGATTACTCACAAATTTGTTTAAACTAAATTTTATGGCGGTCGGAAAGTCTAAATTTTGATTTTATGGCCGTTTTAAATTTTTTGTCTTTTGTTAAAACAATTCTAGCAAATTTGAGATTTCGAGCTCAACGGAGAGAACGAATTCTATTTGAGCAGTCTTTATCGTCCTCAGAAAAGTCATTATTGCGGTTTTTCTACTTTTTTTTCATATTTTATGATTTTCTGAAAACTATCCTCACAAATCTGAGATTTTAAATTCAATCGAACGAACAGGTTGTGTGAAGCTCCCCTGCAAAACTTTCAGCCCAAATTTTTGATGGCCTTAAGAATGTCATTTTTTTGAAACTTTTTAATTTTTCGCAAAAAATACTCACTCGTAATTCTGAGACTTGGGATTAATGGAGAGAACGAGTTGCGCGAAGGTCCCCTGTTTGATCGGCTATGCCGGAATTTTTGTACCGAAAAAAGTTTATCGTCTTAATTGTGATTTGTTGATTATTTTTTATTTGTTGGTTTTTGCAAAGTTCCCCACCATTTTTGTAATTTTGAAATCTATCAAATGATCAGGTTGTGTAAAGGTTCCCTTCTTAATTTTTACCCCCAAATTTTCAACACAAAAACTTCTAGCCCTCGGAAAAATCAAATTTTTGATTTTTGACAGTTATTTCAAACTTCCAAAAACTACCATCCCAAATATAAGATTTTGAGTTCAATTAAAAAAATTGTGGCTGTTTTTTACGGCTGGTTATTATGACTGTTTATTATGACTGGTTATTATGACAAAGTTATGGCTGGTTATTTTGACTGTTTTTCAAGTTTTTTTCTCGAAAATACTTCTACTTCTGAGACTTTGGGTTCTATGGAGAGAACGGGTTGTGGGAAGTTTCACTGCATTAGCAGCTGTGCTCAAATATTTTTATGCATAAAGTTATTATCCTCGAAAAAGTCAACTTTTTGATTTTTGACGGTTTCTTGGATTTTTATCTAATTCTCTCGAAAACTGCCATGCCTAATTTGATATTTTGAGTTGAATGGAAAGAACGGTTTTTAAAAAGCTCGCCTGTTTAGCAGCTACACCCAATTTGAGAAAAGAAAGTTGAAGCTTTGCCATGTTTTTGATTTTTGACCAATTTTAAAAGGTTTTGACGTCTCTCGAAAACTATCCCCGAAATGTTTTTTTTTTCGTTTTCATAAGATCAAACAGATTGTCTGAAGCCCCTCTATATAAGTGGTTAATCCCAGTTTTTTCCCACAAAATTTTATGGTCCTCACAGCGCAAAAATATAATTATTGATCTAAAAAATTTTATAGCTTGAATTTTTCTACTACCGTTACGTTTTTGGCTTAACGAGGTTCGACCTTGATTTTTTGCCTTATGTGCCGTTCGGTCATTGATTCTCAATGCTTTTTAGGGCTGTTTATGAGCCTGATCCGAGACAAAGGAGATAAGGGTATAAAAATTTTGTAGATATTGTTTTTTCGACTTTTTAAGTATTTTTTTCAGCTCAAGTTTTCAAAAACTGACTTCTTGTACTGCAATGTTTTAATTGTATCGCAAATGTTGCGAAGCTACGCTTCGCCTCTATGATATTATCAAAATAAAAGAGGGAATTTTTGAAACTTTTTGCATCTTTGAAAACTATTATAGGATGAGTTACGAGAATTAAAACAATCCGTCAAAATACCAAAAATCTTTTTTCATCGGTTTTTTCTCGCAGCAAGATTGGCTCTCAGAGGATTAGAATCAGGTTGAATTTTGCATATAATTTGCTCAACATAATAGTTTGTTTCCTCAGCAAACAAAAACAATTTCGCATCTGGATGTTTCGCCACGTTTTCAAATTTTTCACCATAAGCTTCAATGCTCTTCTTTTTTACGTTATCAAGGACAGACTTTATGAGTAGAAATACTCGTTAGATTGTTTCCGTCAGTCAGAGTTTTTGTTGATATCTTTGCTTCTGCTAATTCCAAATCTCTAACTTGACCTTGTGTCATGCTTATGAAACGAGAGAGAACCGACGTAGCGTGATATATAAAAAAAAGAAAAACAACCTATTTTTTGAACTCTCAAAGCGTATTGCGTTTCAATAAATGTTATTTTTTTCAGGTCCCCTCTGAAACTGCCCTACCACCTGCACGTGGACAAGTACTATGAACCTTTCGTTCAGGCCACCATCATCAGTCCCATGGAGCACCTAGACACCATCCTCAATTTGGTATCACTATTTAGATCTCTACAACTAACCCCCCCCCCCCCCTCTCTCCGCCTATGGTACCTAGTTACCTTTTCGATAAGCAAGAGTATTGCAACCAGATGTAAGACATTTTTCTCGTAAAAAGCTAATTTTGTTCACAGAAAATGACGAAAATTGGTCATCTTCAACTTGAGTCATGTTAGCTTTTAAGAATCTAATTGTGTTTGCTAATACAGTGGTGTTGTATAAAGAGCTGAAAATATTTAATAAAATTGAGTTAGTTTTTTGTCGGCCGTTAGAATTTTTGTCCCAATTTTTGTCGGATTACTTGCTGTATCTTTTAACAATGAGCTTGAAAGTTTTCTTGAAATTCTGCAATTAAGTTTCGAGCAGCGTACATATAGCTTCTTAGGTTTTTTGGTTTTAATAAACAGTTAGTTTTTAAAAAATCTGTAGTAAAAACTGTTAAATAAATGTCAGTTTTTCGGACTTTCTGGAAACTTAGCGTCAAAATTTTTGTTAGAACTGAGCGATTTTTCTGTAAACTGATTGATTATATTGGCACCTCAAATTGTTTGAAATATGGCTAAATTTTTGGAAAAATCCCAAAAATTCTGAAACAATTACTTTATTAAACATTTTCAAATTTGATCCGACTGTTTTTTGTCTACAAAAGCATTTAAAAGGCAAGTTATTTCTGAATTAAATGTTGACAATTTTTCAATTTTTACACCTAGTATATTGTTACAAACCTTCTTTGTTTTTTAACCTAAATCGCAAATAAAAGTCTTCATTAAAAGTGTTCACTTGTTTAGAAATTCGATTCACTGTAGCATTGGAAATTGCATAGCATCTGCTAATTCGAGGCTTAATTCTAATTTTGTTTGCACTTTACAGCTGCTTTTTGTCGTGTTCTCGCTAAGGTTTCGCCTCTGTGTTATTTTTTTTTAATCTTTAAAAGGTATCTTTAAATTTCGTCTGTGGTTGTAATCTGTTTTTGTTACCCATGATCTGTTAAGCATGATCTTCGGATGAGAGTAAAATGATTTAGATGGATTGAATAAATAATTTTCTGGAGTTTTCATAGATTTTTTTCGCTGTTTTCTTGTAGTAACTCTTTGAAGTTTTGGTTCAAATATTTAGGTGTGAATGAACGTAGTGATGGTAAATGAACTTTTCTAGGTTGAGTTGAGTTGTTTCTATTGTTTCCAGGCAAAAAATGGTTAAACTTGATCACGCTAAATATGATCTTTTTAAATTCAGTTCAAATTCAACTAATAGTTAGGAGAAAGGTAAATTATACTCTCCAGTTACAAAATAAAAATAGCCCGAAAAAACAAGGACGACTTCTAATTTCGAAAGTCGTTTTAATTTTAGATTTACCAGCGGAATAAAAATTCATCCGTTGATCCAGATTTTTCTGTCCATCTATTTTTTTTTAAATGACACTTTCCCAACAGTATGTTGGCTATGTTTTGAAACATCAATCTTTTTCATGTTTTTTTTTCATTTTTTTTAATTATAATGATGCAATGACAGCAGACTCGCGCCCAAATATTTCTGATGGGTTTGTAGTTAATTTGGGTCAAAGGATTTATTCAGGAATTTTTTTTTCAAGGAGGCCGACGGTTTTTTTTCAAGGAGGTTCTATTATAAGAGAGCAAAAAATGATGACATATATTTCAAAAGGAATCCAACAAGCTATTTATATCTGTTCGCCGTATTGACGTAAATTTTGATGATATGACTTTTTATTAGCATTTTTCAATTTTGGCAGATACTTTCTATCACAAGTACTGCGAAGCTCTGCTTCGCCTCTGTGAAAAGAATAATTAACCCTATAAACAACAATTAATGCCTAAGCATAAGCGGATTTTGTACCTTGTGACGAACCTAGGTTTCAATGAGGAGGAGTTCAGGCGAGAATGTCTCCTCGATCACAGACACGAGATACATGATCACATGCAAAATGCCACTTGCAGAAGTCATAACAGATTTCAACGATGCACTCAAAAGAGCCACTTCAGGTTAGTTAGAGCAAATAGTTAACATTTTTGATTTTGTCGATAAATAAGTTCTTGGGGACTTGTCTTTTACATTTGCGAGAAAAGTTTTTTTTTCAAATATGGATGAAAATTAAAACAGCGTGCTTCAGTTTTTCAGTAGCAAAATTAGTGATTTAAAAGTTTGAAGTCATTGCTACGCAACCAATCTTTTTTCGTTTTCCGCAGAACTAAAGAAAAGTTTTTGTAAATCGCGCTCGCGAAAAAAGTCCGGGTTTTTTGGGAAAATCCTTCAAGCCAGAAGGATCGAATAACCCAAAATTATTCTTACCAAACCAAAATTCAGTATTCGAAAATCTGATAAATAAATATTTGTCAGTTTTGGACTGTTCAAAGTAGACTGATTGATTGAAATAGTTCGAAAATTTGGTTTTCTGTCACGAGAAAAGCCATTCGATATTGTAAACTTTACACCCCGTGCCATTCATAAAGAATTAAACTTACGATTACGGATATACGAATTGATTACCTTATAATGATTTTTATCTTGTAATGATTTTCTGTAATGATTTTGATTGTACCTTGTAATGATAATAGGGGAGGGGGGTGTTTAACAAGATCGTAGCTCTATTTTCTTGCTTCAGGTCTTGCTAGTTTCGACTATGAAGACTGTGGTTTTGAAGAGGCAGATTTGGTGCGGATAGACTTCCTGTTGAACAAACACATGATTGACGAGTTCTCTATGATATGTCAGAGAGAAATGATGCATTCTAAGTGTAGACACATGATTGACAGATTGGCAGAGCATATCCCAAAACAGCAGTTCGAGATCAAAATACAGGCCGTCATTTCCGACACTTCTACTGTCGTTGCTAAGTAATTGTTTTTTTTGCTAATTGCTCTTGCGATAAGCAGCGGTATTGCAATCGGGTAAAAGACTTTTTCCCCGTAAACAACTTTGTTCACAGGATGACTGAAATTCGGCCGTCTGCGTTTTCATTTCTACCCAAGTTGCGCACCTAATAGCTGTAGTTCAACAACTGGTTAAGAGCTTTGTTTTTGTCGTATCATTTCCATATCTTAGTCGTGAGAGCGCAATTAGCTCTAAGAATATCGTTTGTTACACTACACGTTAATTGTTTGGTACACGTTTTCATTACTTTTGTCTTCATTTTCATATAGTTCATAGTTTACTTATTTTCATATGTGCGAAATTTTATTTTACAAAAAAAAACTTTTCTGTTAGATTTTTTTTGCTGTAAATTTTTCGTTTTTTTTGGATGTACCTTTTTTGATTTTTCCCCTACAGTGTGTGGAAGTAGTTATAATTTTGGTTAGTTCAGTGTTTTTTAGATTTGAGCAATGTCATTTGAAATCGTTTCAAGCTGATGGCTCAGCGTACCATTTTACTATGTCAAAAAACTTTCGAAAAAATTGAATAATTTCCAGAAGCTTTTTTTTTGCGATTTTGACTCAATTGTTTTGTTTACGAAGGAATGTAGTGGCAATTGATGCAAGGGATCCAGGAGTATGGCTAAGATTTTTGAAAAAAAAAGAAATGTTTTTATTTCCTTTACTGGCGTCCTTTTAATGTAGTTTCTTGTTGTTGTGGTTCAGCTAGCTCGCCTACCGTTGCTTATAGATTTAAGTCTAACAAGTTTGATATAATAGGGCTTTTTTATCCCCGATTTTTCCTCTGTTGGATATGCAGGTTGTTTGAACAGTTTTTGAGTAGGAGTTTTCGCATCTCAATTTTTTGACCGAAATTTATCGTTTCCATATATTGGTTGGGTGAAAGAATTGGATGGAGTTTTACCCGAATCCTTATTTTTTTTCAGTTAATTGATTTCTATATTAATTGCAGTAAGGTTTTTAATTAATTTTCTAGCCTGCGATTTCTTCGAAACTCTTCAAATTTTTCATTCAGCTTCGCTTCTGTGTTTTAAAAATACAATTGCTGTTTTTTTTTCCAAAAACTATTTGGATTTTTTCAAATTACTTTTCATTAACAAATTCTGGGCTCTAAAGGCTAATGATAAAAGAATTATTTAGAATTACCTATGATTTTGACTTTGGTGAAGTAAGTGGAAATAGATAATTTTCTCGGTTTGTGTTCGGAACCAGTATCTTTCAAAATCAAAAATTCCAATCAACTAAACGAAAAACTAACCGTTATTTGAACAACGTAGTCTACCTAATTTTTTTTGAACAAAAGAAAGTATGCATCAGTGAGAAGCTTTTTTAGAAATCATAATCGAAAAGTTGTACTTCAGTGGCTATGAAAGAAACTCGCATTTAATGAAAAGCTTGAATCTAGCTACATCTGCTTTAAGCGCTTTCTTTGCTGCTTGATATTTACACCGCGTCCAGACAATTCGGGCAAAGACAATTCAGCCGAATTGAAATTCAGACAATTCAGCCAAAATTATGCAGAAAATTCAGCCAGTGACAATTCAGCCAAAAATATAGTGACCGCCGCAGTCGCGCCAACTTGTTGCGAGCTTGCCAACAGTGAGTAGGACTCTATACGAAATTTAGAGCCGGTTATCGCCGCGAAGCGGCGACGCGCGCGTAGCGCGCCCACCGGCGACCTTAAACCGAGAAATAGCTCCAATTCCGATTTTTTTCTTTCGAATTAGGCATTTTGTAAAACTGGCTGAATTGTCTCAGGTTGAATTGTCTGTATATTTTTGTCTGAATTTCAAATTGGCTGAATTGTCTTTGGCCGAATTGTCTGTGCGCCATTTACACTTAATGTTTGCAAGTATGTATTTTAGTTCATGGCTAAAATGTCAAGGCACAGATCTTCGATTTGTAGGCCTGGATTTGATTCCCGCAGTCTTCGAGATTTTTTACAGTAATTTGGTTCTCTGAAACGCTGATATTTTTGGCTGTTTTTCGCTTATTCCGCCCAAAACAATTATAGTATTGGACAGGGGCGGATCTAGGATTTTGCTCTCCCAAAGCAGTGTTTTCCCCTTAATTTTGCTAAAATTTTTGAAAAAACAGTCAAAAAAGCCGTTTTTGGGCACTTTTTGAAAAATTTTGACAAAAAAATTGAGTTTTTTTTTGGCGCGCGCTCCCCCTCAAAGTTAGTAAATATTGGCGCCAAAGGCGCCCTTAGAAAAATTTTTAGGTCGGTCGGGCAAAAATGGATTCTGAAAAAGCATCTGGTATTGGAGCACTAACTAATTGAAGTGTTGTTCAAAATAATTTTTGGCTACATATTATCAAATCAAGAATTTTATCGTTTGGGCTGAATAATTAAAATGAACCATGTTTTCTAGCATTTTTCCTTATTAAAGCTATTACGGTTAGTTTCTTATCGCAAATCCTTAGTTAACCTATTGTAATTATAGTTTATATATGACGGATTTTTTTTCAATAAGTAAAAATCGTTTGAAGTCAATTTAAAAACTCTAAATTACTTCATTCATACCTGTTATTTTTTTATCATATTGCGCTATGCGTTTGATTTTTTTTCATTGTTGCGAAAGAGTATAGAGTTGTTTTGTACCAGACAGCCGGTCATTTACAAAATAAATTTTGATTTATTTTCACCAAGTTTCACGTTGTTTCACATGCGTTAGACAAATAGAGATTTCTTCCTGTTATAGCCCTCCGGCATATTATAGTCCATCCCTCCCCAAGTGTACAAAAATCTGTGTAGTGAGATATGATGCGTTTGAATTTGGACTGCGTGTTGAAAGCACCTAAAATCATGTGGTTACTAAAATGTTCCAACTTACTGAGAAAATGAACCAAAGGAAACCTTGAAACGAGCCGAAAATACTCAAAACAAGCGAATGAAGAAAAAGTTCGCACTAGCTTTTCATTTCAGGGGTAAAGTGAACGCCCTTCGGAAAGACGTGTTCCGGAAACTGCACGGAAGCATAGGAGTGGAGAGACGGTCTGCACTTCTCAAGGCACAGGCGGATGGGAAGAAGAGACTGCGTATGGTGGGAAACATACAGATACCCAAGAAGGTCTTCGTCCAGGTCATGAAGGCCGCCACATCTAAATAAGAACATAAGAACAGCTCGCAAACTCAACTATCGAAAGCTAGCATCTATATTTGCTAATTGGTACGCTTTTCGGCAAATGAGACGGCGAATAATTTTTCTAGAATGTTCTAGAATAAAACAACTTTACTGATTAAAATGTCTTCTTTATTTCTCGAAAAGTAAATTCAATTGCTGGAAGTTTTAAAGAGTTCATGAACAGTTTCAAGAAATTTTACGAGGGTAGATGAGATTTCAAATATAAAAAAATTGGATTATTCGAACCTTGTATTTATTGTAGAAATTGAGAAATTGATATTTTGAACTGAATGCATTTAAATTGTTTTAAATGTTTTTGAGTTGATTTTTCTGCAAAGTGCTGTATTGTTTGTAAAAAAGTTTTCATAAGAAAATTTCCTTGGAATTTAACCAGCTTTAACAATGTAATTTAATTTGTATGAGTGTTATTACAAGGGAAAAAACGTCTTATTATTGCCTTATTGTCTGCAAAATTTCAGCAGTGCCGAAGAACCAAAAAAAATTATTCCAGAGGCCAAAATAAAAAATTTGTTCAACAGTGCCGAAAAATGGACAAAAAAATTCGAAAGTTTGAATTATCTCCCTCGAATAATCCACCGAATGTTCCAATAGATTTTAAAAAATACTATAGATTTCAAAATTATCTAATCCAGCTCTCACCACTTAACATTGGGCTTTTTTTTCGTGGGGTAGAGAAACGCCTATTAATTTGCCGCAGTTGGGGAGGCAGGAACCAATGTGATCCCTCCAATTGTGACTGAAGTAGGATTTGAACCCAGGAATTTTGCGCTGAAGGCCGCGTGATCCAGGCATTTGGTACAGTATGCATGATTGGAACGAAACAACTGCTGAGATCAAATACAAACAGGTGCAGTTTTGTTCTGGTGACTATATTGGAAAGAATTGCTCTCGGGCCAAAAATTTAAGTCAGTTACTTCCACTATAAGCAACCAGAAAAATAAAAAGAAAACTGAAATTATTTTAGAAGTTTTTTTCCAATTTTTCTTTTCGTTGATTAATGAGTAAGGAATTACTACGCATGCAATTATGAGGCTCGCTCTTAGCTTCGTTGGTTTGTTGCTGATATGAATAATTTGTTTCGATGCAAAGTTAATATTAAGTTTTGCCATTCATTAATTTATATTTAATTTTTTTAATTCAAAGATATTTATATGTTTGTAAAAGGACAATAGTTGAAAGAAATTACCATCGAACGCATTTATTGAAAGTACATAACGGCTGAAAGAAAAGTTATATTCTATAAACATTGGCTTCCATCATGATAGAGCCTCACGTGCTTTCAATTGTCTCTACCAGAGTCTTTGGTAACAGGGGCGGTTTTAGGATTTTTTCAAAGAGGGGGCTGGGCTCACTTTCTAGCAAAAAGATCAATTATAAATTGAATTTCAATCTTCGATTTTTAACAGCAAAACGATCAATTATAGATTCAGTTTTCACATCCAAGTCACTATGTATATAGCAAAGTGCTAGCGCACTTATTCGCTGCTCTGACATCGTTGCACGAAGGTAGCTTTTGAGTAACTTCAGGGCAGAGAAACTTCGCTCCGCAGTAGCCGTTGACACTGGTATAGTCGCAAAGATGCGGAGCAAAGCATGTATTGAGGGCAGAAAACTGCCAGAGCAACAGTCGATTGCTTCCACTATACTAGTTGGCAGACTTGAAAGTTCCACGTTTTTCCATTGGTTTACCCAACGTTCGAACTCTTCTTCGACTGCTTGCAGGTCTGTATCACCAGGCAGCAACTCCTCATACAGTTGTACTGTCTCTTTGACGTCTTCGAAACAAACGTTGTTAGCTAAAAGCGAATGCGGCAAAAACTGGCTGAGTTTGATGGCAAGGGCACTTTGTTCGGAAAATCTCGAAGTCAGCTCATTCATAAAATAATCAACAAATGGCACGTAAATTTGTTGACGGTAATGATCAAATGGCGTCGAGTTTGCCGTACGAGGTTGTCGACGTGATCCCGGCAACTGATCAATTACAATCTCCCCAACTAGGCTCTCAGCATCACTGAACACATTTTCATAAGAGCCGGAACCATTGCCATCTCGCCATTGTTGCAGCTGCTCTTTCAACTTCTTCACGTAATCCACACAGGCTGGTAGTTCTTCTTGGGGACCTTGTAGAGCTTTGCTGATCCATCGTGATGCACCTAAGCAGATATCAAGGTTATTTTGTAGTTAAAAACGTTCTGGAGTGTTTTAAAGAAAATATAAAGTTTGTTTCTAACGTGAAAAAACTGGTTATTGAGGTGTTCTTCCGTTTGGACATCATGCAAATCTGAAAAGAGAACAGGGCATGAAAACATGAAAATTGGGAAAGAAAACCGAGCAGCAGCAAAACCGCTGCAGCTGAAAAGCCACGCAATTACATGTACGCGATTGCGCGCTATAGCGAACAGCGAATGATTCACGTTTAACCTGCACGCTATGTTGAACGAAACGCGCATTACGTCATTTACGCTTGCTGGAATAATTCAGTCGGAAACGCCAATTTCCCCGCTTCGCAGTCATATGTTTTTAATTTTGGTATAATTTTTATTAAAAACCTCAAAGGGTCCCCCCTTTGCTCGTTTTCACTGTTAAAATCAATCCGTAAGGGGGGGCTCGAGCCCCCCCAGCCCCCCCTCTAAAACCGCCACTGTTTGGTAAGATCGGGTGAACTAAACTGTATCAGCTTTAAAGCTACCGGTCTAACCATGCTAATTACCTTTAAATCCATGAAAAATTACTGAGCTCATGGCTGGGTCAAGTCATCCCTAGACCTCAAGGTCATTCCTAAAAATGGGTTTACTACGCTATTATATATGACTTAGTTTTTGTTCAGTTGAAAAAATCACTCGAGCCATCATTCTTTCACGCATGTAAACATGAGGTTCTCAACTAAATTAGACTGCAGCAGTAGATTTTCAATCACTGATAGCCACTTTGATCTATCTGCACGTCTGCTAATTATTTGTTGCGGTTTTAAAGCTATATTCAAAACACTCTGTTGATTTTTTTCCCACATTTTTACACTGCTCGTAAGAAATTTTTCTAATAGATTGTTTTTCTATCTTCGTTTTTGTCATTTTTTTAAAAAAAATTGTTTCAAGTTCGACTTAAGACAATAAATTTTTATCGCCTTAAAATGGCAAAAAATAAATTTATATGCCTCGACAATGTTTCAAATTAAAAGGTGAGTTCGATCGTTTTTAGTCTGATTCTGTTGATAATTAATCACTGAAGCCTACTTCAACAGCCTAGAACTCATTTTCTGAGAGTGTTAACGCAGTTCTGTAGCTGCGAGATCAGAAAAATTTACTCCTGTTATGAGGGCACGAGGGCTCCGATTTTTTTAGGGCTGCCGTGCTAGGTCTTTTTTGTTCATTTTGCGAGTGCATGTCCTTTGATGTTCTTATTTTAACAAAAAATAGGCTAAATTGACCGGCTATCTTAACTTTCAGTTTTTCATTTTTCATAGCTTGCAAATAAAATGCATCAATTTTCAGCAAGAAAACTGAAACTCAAATACTTCCAATAAATGCGCTCAGAAAGTTGCGGAAAGGCTGAAAAATGGTCCCTGCAGCAGAACTAATGATCCAAAAGTTGTACAAAGACGGACAATAGCTCAAAAATTACAAATTTTAGATATTCATGTAATCCGGACTTTGTTTTTTTTAGCCTGCGACCCGGTTCCCACCACTTGTCTTTAGGTTTTCTTCCGTGGGGTAAATATATGTCATTCAATTCGCCGCAGTTGAAGAGACTGGTAATCTTGTGACTCCTCCAACTGTGACTTGAGTGGGATTTGAACCCACAAAAAATGCACTGAAAATCTTGCGACCGGGGCTTTTGGTATGAAATAGATGATTCAAATTGAAACAGATGAGAAAATTGCTACTAGTGGGAAAAATGAATTTATTTTCTTTTGGCCCGTGAACAATTTTTTTTCACCAAACTCATCTGTTTCAAATTGAAACAGCCGGCTTAGATCAAATTGAAACTAATGAGTTCACGGGCCAAAAGAAAAATAAATTCAATTTTTTCCATTTAAAGCAATCAGAAAGTTAGAAGATTATATGTTTCATAGGCCAGAAAATGAAACTCAATTACTACCACTAGTGGCAATGAGAAAGTTAAAAGTTAGACCATAAAGTACAAGTGTATAAGTTTTTTTTTTCAAAAATTGTTGCTTCGTTGATTAATGATTAAGTAATTCCTACTGATGCGATTATGATGTTTGAGATTAACCTTGTCGTTTCTTATCGATACGCAAAGTTTATTTTGGTGCAAATTTAACGTTACATTGACCTATTTGTCAATTTGTATTTTGAAAAAATATATATATATTTTATGATCAAATGAACAGATGAAAAAATCATTTAATTGCCAGTTTGTCGACACTATCAACTCGTCACAAATTTGTTTTTTCAATTCTGTCTGCTAGTTTGTTGTGTTTTGATTTTGCTCCAATGTAAGTTTTCTAAATTTTTTTGTCGACTTAGACTCTATCAGTTTAATTTCTTAGTTTGGTGTGCCTACTTGCATTCACTACAAATAAAGCACCCGTGGAACCACATGAGCGATACATGTTGGTTGATTTTTGACTCATTGGCTCTGGATTTTATTTCTGTCGTCGTTTCTAGCTTATAAATTGTTTCATACCAGCTTCAATTTTTAAGATCGTTTTATATTAGCTCTTAAGCAAACTCAGAACTACGTTTTTCAAAATCTAAACAACTTTAAACTAGATTCTAAGATATTTTAGCTGCTGTTTTAATCTTAAAGTAACGCAGGTTGTGTGCGCGTCAGAGGTTTTTTGTTTGAAATACACGATTCGATAATGCATGATCTTTGCGCTGGAGGCCGCGCGCCCAGGGGAGGGTTTTGCAGAGATGTTGCAGCTTGTGCTTTGAGGAGTTTCCGGTTATTTTTGAGTACACGATGGCTCCCATATCTGTAGGGCTGCAGTGCTCGGCCTTTCATGTTCTATTGCCAGTGCATATTCTTTGACGGTCCTATGATATCAAAACAATAAAGCCAAGCTGGCCCTTTACATTAACCGGCTGTTATTTTTGCTAATTTTCAAATAAAATGCAACAAATTGCCACTAGAAAACTGTAACTCAAATACTTTCAATAAATGCGCTCAAGTTTTCCGCAAAAAAGTTAGACTCGATAAATTGCAAAAAAAAAC